CCTCGAGCTCTCTCAAGTATTGGGAGCTTACATAAATACAAAAAAAAGTATTGGGAGCTTCACATTTCACTTCAATGTTATAATGATGTGAAAGAAAATGCCACTCTTCTTCAAACATTTGTCCTAAAAATTAGAAAGAATACAAACTTACTAACTAAGGGTTTTGTGTTGTATGCAGAAAACGCAAATTTTGTATTCTTTCATCCATATTCTACTTCAAACACATTTGTTAGGGCAATATTCTATTTGCAGAAGTGTCCGGGTGTTAATGACATCCTCTTTTACATCATACCATTTAAGTGAGATTGTGCCATCTATTCTTTGGCTAATTTTGGGATCCAACACTTAAGAGGGGCTTTAAACTGTTATCAATCAAGTATCTCAACACTGAGCAAACAGATACTATAAATTGGTTCTTTCTATTGAAGAATATTACTGCCATTTTACCTGAAATGTATATTTCCTTTGTTAAGAAGAGTGTTTGATGCTATTTTAATTAAACAAGACAAAAATAAAAGAAATCCATTCCTTTCTAATTTCCATACGTCTGGGTCATTCGCTCTAAAGTTTGAACGAAGTTATTTTCATGACAAAGTACTTCTATCCATGAAATTTCATCAAAACTAGGGAGGATGTGCCACTCAGGACTACTTCCCTTGAATGCTGTACTATTTGATTAATATCCGTACTATTTCAAGGTGATGTTTCCATGATCTGCTTTTAAATCTTGTTTGGTTTCTTTCTTCTTTTTTTGCCGCAGATGTCGAAGTTGTACCACCACAAGCTAGACAAGATTTTGATTCCGACTAACCCATTCTTTAAAGGTCCATTGCCTTAGGAAATTAAAACTATTATGTCTTGTATCAAGACCCTTTTAAAGCAACATATAGCAAAATAGCAAAAAAGCAAAATAACAATTTGTTTCATAAATAAATGCCTCCTTATATTTTTTACAATTTTTTGAAAACCTCTCCAAGTTGCTCGTCTAATAGTGGACCCCGCCCCTTACAATTCTCAGAGTTCCTCGGAATGATAGACCAAAGGATTAGTGATGTTATATCAAGAACGATCTCCGCTTAGGCAAGCTACGGTGCTTGCTAGCCAGGTCTGCAGGCATTATGTTTTGTACACAAACATAAACAATAACTTTTGTTATTAAAAAGTGTGCTATGCATCTTTACTTGTTATTTATTGTGGTGAAATTTCACTAATGGCCCAATTTTAAAAAGAGAGCTATACCATGAGTCGAAGAAGGTCGTAATTGATTTGAATGCCTGTATAATGTGTCAACTAAATGCATGCTATAAAGAATTTCAAAGGTAAGAAAAAAATGTTTCATATATCTAAGTGACTGAATGTTTTTCGTACTACCTTCTTCTCAATTTAAAGAAATATTGAAAGTGGTATATCAGAGTGAAGAAACTTGTGTTTTTCCCTTTACAAGCTCTGCTCTTTCTTACTTCACTTTCAAATTTCCTCTATTGTTATATAAACATTTAGCGATTGCTTTACTTCACACATTCAAGCAATGTATACTATCCCTCCTAAAAAAAAACAGTTTGTAGATGTGTTAACAATAGATATGGCGACGAAATGTATCGGCATCTCTGAAATGCCTAAGCATCAAAAATGTTGGCAATTTCTCTGAATATTATTTTTTATTTTTTATGGAACATTGTTTACATTAATTGCCTAGTTCTTGGTATGCAAATGGTGGACACTTTATTAATTTCTTTATATTTTTGTGCTGTACATATGTAGAGGAATCTTGTCATAAGCAATCGTGTTCGTCTGCCACAAAGTTTGTTTTGTTTTACTTGGGAAGTTGTGAGGATTGTTTATTATATTCGTACAATGAATTTCAGTATGTTATGTTGTGTTACGTGTAAGCGACAATTCATTTTATAACAGCTCCTATCGTCCTAGCATTCATTGATAGTAGGCCTATATTGTGACACATTGAGATACCTTGAACTTGAAACTATGTTTACATCTTTTTCGAATTCAGACGAAAATACAAAAGAAAGATGTACAATAATTGTATTCACATTTACAACAGTTTGTTTATTACACATAAAATAAAGTATGTTTTATCACAAAATCAGTTTATTTTCCTTGTTCTTTTGTTTTGGAGGGAGGGGGATGTATTCAGAGCAAATTCTAAGAAGCAAGATGGTGAACTTTTCATTAAAATGGGACAAATAAGTTGTTATCAAGTTTTGATAGTGATTAAAATGTACAAGATAATAGACATGACGAAATTAAAATAACATGTCCCTCTTGCTTCAATATTGTTATTATACATATCTTCCAGAGGGATCTAAGTCGAGTTCTATAATGAACTTTTCTCAAATTCAGTCTAATTTTGATGAAATTGTTACTACCTTCATTTTGTGGATTTTGCTCTGTTTATTTATTTAATCCAATCTTAAACTACTTGGCTTTTCCTTGTCACGTTGTGATGCATGTGTTTGAATGATTGTACATGTCCGATGTAGTATGATCTTGACGATGTTCTTATGAACGGACGACTGATGTTGGTGTGAATATGTTTTTGAGTTGGTGTTGGTAATGTCAGAAGGATGTTGGCATGAACTGGAAAGGGGAGGTACAACGTCGGCACATGGTGGGATACGGGTTGGCATAACGTTGCTTCTACGTCGGCAAATGGTGGAGAAGAGGTTGGCATAACGTTGGTCTAGCATTGGCACATGGTGGAGGAGGGGTCGGCACTTGGTGGGAAAAGGGTTGGCATTATGTTAGGACAACGTCGGGGAGACGTCGGCACATAGTGTAAAAGGGGTTGGCATTACGTTGGTCCTACGTCAGGGAGACGTCGGCACATGGTGGAAAAGGGGTTGGCATTACGTTTGTCCTATGTCGGCATATGGTGGGATAGGGGTTGACATGACGTTGGTCATACGTCGGGGGGACTTTGGCCCGATGTTGGTTTAATGTCATTTCGTCGCTGTCGAGCCAACGTTGGCCCGCCGGCAAGAAAGCCGTTGGCCCAACATCACATTGGCGACGATGGCGCAACGTAACAGCCCACGACGTCGGCACATGGTGGGATATAGGGGTTGGCATAACGTTGGTCCAATGTCGGAACTACGTCGGCACATGGTGGGATAGGGGTTGGAATAACGTTGGCCCTACGTCGTGGAGACGTCGGCACATGGTTGAAAAGGGGTTGGTATAACGTTGGGCCAATGTCGAGGAGACGTCGGCACATGGTGGGATAAGGGTTGGCATAACGTTTATCCAATGTCGGAACAACGTCGGCACATGGTGGGAAAGGGGTTGGCATAACGTTGGTCGTACGTCGGCACATGGTTAAAAAAGGGTTGGGACGACGTTGGTCCAATGTCGGAAAGACGTCGGCATACGGTGGAAAAGAGGTTGGCATAACGTTGGTTCAATGTCGGGAGGACATCGGCACATATGGTCGGATAGGGGTCGGCATAACGTTGGCCCGATGTTGGCTTAATGTCATTTTGTCACTGTCGGGCCAACGTTGGCCCGCCGGCAAGAAAGCCGTGGGCCCAACATCATGTTGGCGACGTTGGACCAACGTAACAGCTTACGTTGGCCCCACGTTGGCGTAACGTCGTATTGTTATGGGATTATATGTTTATCGGCAATTGCAAGAGAATGAAAGCGACGTTGCCAGCTAAGAAAAAAACTAACAAAGACTTGCTCCTGACTACCGGTGTCAGAATTGGTAGATGAAGGATCTTCAGGGCCAAGGAAGGCGAAAGACATGGGGAAAAAGGAAGAAGAAACCATCGGGAGATCGCTATATAGTGTATGGTAATTGTGCATGGGTTGACAGCTACTGTTCACTCCGTGCCTGGGCCGATTTCAACACCAAAACAAAAATTACATGGTGAAAAAGATCGACTAATAGCACATCGCTGGCATGCATATGGCATCATTTTTAAAAGGGGAATTGATATTAATACTATGAAGTACTAGGGGAAGGTAAAGAATTGTACATAGAATTATGATTTATTAGACTTTTCAGCCTTTGAAAAAAAAATAAGCAGAAAATCGTATCACTCTGCACATGTTTGCTATGGAACATCCGGGTACGTGAATATATTCTTTCCCGGACGCGTTATTTTTTTATGCGGCACAGATTGGGGCATGGCGCGTGTTGAGCCTATGGGAAGTACGTTCTTTCCCTTCTGAATAGTGTCTGCACGTACGTGAGACTAGTCATGTTCGCTAGCGCATTAGCGCTGCGAAGACGTTTGAATATCCATCGCGAACTATGTGTTTAGATAACATTCCTCTTAGTTTAAGTTAGTTAAGTTTTATTGAATAATTATTATGATGTTCTCCTTATTGACGTGCTGCCTCCTCTTCAGATTTCCAATTTCATTTTAATTGTTGATGTAATGATTTTCCATACGGTAGTGGATTACATGTAACACTATTAAAAACAGACCTCGACTACTTATACTGTCTAGTACGCACACGACCACTATTAGTCTGTAAATCAAGACCCCTTTTAAAAAAAAGCCCCAATCTGTGCCGCATAAAAAAATAACGCTTCCCGGACGTGAGGTCATAAATAGTAGACCAGCGCCGTAACTGATTTTCTATGCAAAGAGAGGCGGATATTTTCGACATTTCAATTGAGGATTTCGAGTAGACAGAATTTTTTTGTGATATACTAAGTAATTGAAAAACTTAAAAATAACATATATTTGCCGTAGGTAACAAATTAAGGGACATTTATTTGCTTAGAGTATCAACTTTAAGGTACACATCCTTGGTTGAACATATATCTTTTCTACTTCTTTTCTTGGAATATTGTAAAGTGTCATTAAATTGCCGCCTGCCGAGTTTGTTTCTACATTCTTTTTAATTTGACTCTTATATACCATTTTTGCAGTTAAATCTTCAAATGTAAACATTTTCTTTGAAAAAATAAATTCTAAACTAAAGCCAGTGTGAATTGCATTTCTTATGGCACGATATGTGTTGATCGCGACGATGCACTATGCAAGTACGATCGAGCCACTTAGTCACGTGACATTTGTTTGTAGACAACATGGCCGAAGGTAAACACGAAAATTACTCACTTTTAAATAGATATTGCTTGTTTAATGTTTCGTTTTCGTTGAATTCATTTCATTGCTTTCGTTGTTAAGATAAGCTGCTATTTATCAAGATTTTGTTATTTTATATTGCGTAAAAGAAATACGCTAAATCGCGTGTATAAATGTGTGCACAATACTGCAGGAGCCTCAGTCAAATTAGTCTTGCCCCACACATTTTGATTTTTGTTGGCCATTTTCTTATCTTCTATCTTGCATGTGCATGTCTTGGCAACACAGTCTTATCTTTTCTAAGTAAGGAATGTATTCAGATATATGTTTTATGTTGGACCTATTGTAAAAGCAAGACAGTTTTTGAAGACTTTACTGACAAGAAAACGTGTTGGCAAATGATGCCTAACTTTTTTTGCCTTTCAATTTCATTGAGTTATTGACTTTGTCTTTAGCATTTGCAAAATATTGCTGTCGATTTTGCACAACTTTTTAATTTAATAATTGGCTTGAACATGGTTGGGACTAGGGCACTATTTCAGAAGTTGGCGCTTGTTTAGAAATGTATCCAAAATTTGACCCGTAACATCCCTAAAATGAAGTAATTAAATGTCCAAATAAAGATCATGAGTTAAAGGGATCGTTTAACAATGTTAAATCTGAGATACACGGCCCTACGTGTTATCAGTGTCTGTGATATGGTGTAATATTGAAGCCCTAAAAAAATTGCACTTCAAAATGATCAAGAAGTGCCTCAAAAAAGTAAAAATCTTGGAGTGACCGGTTTTACCATACTCGTTTTCCCCAATAGACTGTAGTGTTATGAAAACCGTCAGGCGAACGGTTTTCAAAATTTGTAATTCCAATCATAAATATCTTGATAATCAGACAGGCGATCGGCTTGTAAAAGTCATGGGGTTCCTGACTGACCTAAAGGTTTATAATTATCATTGCATCATGAGCTAAATCCAGAATTTTGTTTCAGAATCTGAGACAAAGTTACCGGATCTCTTTAAAAGTCGTTATTTTGGAATATTTTTTGGAAAAACGATGATATTAGTATAAACTTTTTCTCAGGTTTCACGGCAAACCGATGTATAATACAAGTGCATACCGATGGTGGGTTGCGGGCGGGCGGTGCCTGTGCGAAGTTATCTACCGTAATGAGGATCTGAGACATTACGGTAGATAACTTCACACAGGCGCGCGCCCGCCTGCAACCCTCCATCAGTACGGTATGCACTTGTATTGTGCAGCAGACTAGCCTTTGAGTCAAATATGATGTGTCGATTGTGGCCTGCAGGAAAAACTCAGCAAACTGCGAATGAACATCAGATAAATTGCAACATCTTTATTCCATTTTTTGTCATTATATGTTAATGATATTCATTGTTTTATCTTTGTGTAGGAGAGCAAATTCCCCCAGTAACTGAGACACCAGTGGTTACACAGGAACCTGTGGTGAGTAGTTTTATCTGTCTGTATTGCCTGTAAGAATGTTCTCTTTTAATGTTTTTTTTTTAATTATTGTTATTTAATCAATCTGCATGGTATTGGTATGTTAAATGTCACTAATATACATTGTAGTAATATACATTCACTGCCATCAAATACTTTGAAAACTAGGAACAAATGTTTGAATTTTAAAACTGAGGTACATGAATACAACGATCCTAACTAATAATCTGCAAATAATACATTAGGTAGAGGTGCTGTAGTGCAGTGGTTTAAGCACTTGACTTGAAATGCAAAGATAGTGTGTTTGATCCCTGCTTCGACATTAATGATGATGATGATGAACAGCATTTGTATGGCGCCATACATCTGTTTAAAAAAAAAACATTCAAAGGCGCTATTGTCCTTTGGCAAGGGATTAATCTACATTTGCCACTCAATACCCAGGAGGAAAATGAGGACTTGGTAGGATGGTGAAAGCCTTTGTGTTAGTAATTGGCATATGTCCTCATGGGGGCCATTTCTCGAAACCAACTCCATGACAGTCCTATCTTTGTCGCCGACCTACGGAGATGTCATGAAGTGGATAAACCGTTTCACAAAGCCATGACAGACATGATATCGATATATCGCGATACTAGCAGCTCAAGAAGATAGTCTTTGTCACGATCCATTTGATTTATGAAGAATAACCCAAAACAAGTTTTGGGGCTAAAATTGTTCAAAAAGAAATATATACATATAAATTCTCCTAAAATAAATAATAAATAGTGTCATTATCATATTTACATCATCAAACGATTTGCATATTTCTGTAAAGATTCTTAAATTGAAGAAAAAGCGGTGAATGTTTTTTTTTTTCAACAGTCGAATCAAAAGTTAGTTGAAGGATACCGTAATGTGATAGTTTATCAATACGTACTTTTTTATTTATTGTGACGAGGAATTTTAGGCAAAATGTCTTTTCTCAGCCAGTTTTTATTCTAGAGTCTCATAAATACTCGTTATATAATTGATTTGATATTGAAAATATAATTTGGAAGAAGTAATTAGAGAGGGAATAATAATGCACATAGGCCCCAAAGGTATGACGGTATCCTAAGAAAAGACTATGGATCGACTATGGAAAACGTTGTGTAACATTCTTACCTCTCTTATTTATATGTTATAGTTTAATGATTTGTGATTTAATGTTTATATTCAGCTTTTTAAAGTTTCTGTATAATTTGTATTCTCACTTTTGTACATTTACATTTCGCATTCCCAGAGAATTACGTACCGAACTCGTCTATATTTTTCTCAAAATGATAGTGAAACTAATCGTCCATTTCGCGGCCCATGGAATGGCAACAAACTGACTTGTGATGGCGCTTTACAGCAATTAAAAAGATATGACAGGTTCGGAGCAGTGACAACTCGCTTGTCGCGGAAGTTGTCGCTCATCTTGGCAAAGACGGCTTCGCGAAACACTTAGCTGACAAGTTGCGCGACAGTGGCGAGATGTCGTTGATCTTGTAGTTATGACGGTTTCGAGAAACGGCCCCATGGTGACCATACCAGGGAGTGGAGATTCACATTGTACAATTCACATTGTACGTGAATGAATCCGATAACAAGGGTAGAGCGCTTAAGAGATTGTATTTCGTATTAAGGGGAATTGGTAACATTGTTCAGATGAGAGAAAATGGTGCTAAGGTACATTTAGTGGCTTCAATGCTAGATGTACAATTAAAAATAATCTGAAAGTTTGAGTGAAAGTAGACCATTATTTATGATACAAATTAGGAAAAAAACTGATCTGATTGATTCCTTAATTCTCCCAACTATATTATTAGAATTTAATTACATGTACATTTTAGGTGAATGAAGATCAGCACGAATCAACAAATTGGCTCTACAATGTATATACCATTCCAGACATTTAAGTGTTGAAAGATTTTTTTAAAGCCTGTTTTATGTCTTATTTTTATGAAAAAATGGTTGGGAAATTTTTTTAAATGGTTTGGAGAATTAACTGTTAGAGGGTGTTACACAATGATGCTTTCAAAGAAAACCATAAATATCTTTGTGGTTTGAGAATTTTTTTTCAGGATTTTTTGCATGTTAGAGTGTCAGTACAGTAGAAGAAATATAATATTAAAGTAACAATTCATTTGAAGAGTCATATTAAGTGCTATATAAATCCAGAATAAATAAATGCAGAGGCATTGTACGTGAATGAATCCGATAACAAGGGTAGAGCACTTAAGAGATTGTATTTCGTATGGGTCTCAAGCATGGCTACATACTGTACTTTTTGGAATGGGTCAAGATTTAAAGGACAGGTCCACTCGAAAAATAACTTAATTTCAAGAGAAGCAGAAAAATCAGACAAACCAATAAAAAAAATCAGATGACTAATAAGAAAGTTATGAATTTTCGAAAAAGTTTGTAAAACTATGGAACAATGAAAAGCACAAGACAAATTGGGAACTCACTCATCAGTCTATGACGTCATGTCCTCACTATCCACTAATTATTTGCTTTATATTGATAATATAAATGTCCTATTTTCCCCCTAAGAATCTTATTTCTTCACACCAGCACCCAAGTTAAATTGATACTTGATAGTAACATGTTTTTGTGTGGAAGCACTAATATAGAATGATTTTTTCCAGTTAATACATGAAAAATGTGAATTTTGATAAATTATATATATAAAAATCAATAATTATGAATATACAATATTCAGAAAATAGTATCAATTCTTCAAAGTTCATAAAAGATTTTGTGAAATGTCATGCACGCAGTTTGATACAAATCACATAACCTGGCCAATCCAGTTTTAGGGGATAAAAAGGGAAATTAATGGGATTAAGCTATATAAAGCAATCCATAAATATTGAGGACATGACATCACAAACTGATAACCAAATTGGCAATTTGTGTACCTAGTGATTTTCATTGTTTCATAATTTTACATACTTCAGTTATCGGATTTTGTTTAAACTTTTTTTGATTGGTTTGTCTGATTTTTCTACTTCTATTGAAAGTAAGTTATTTTTAGAGTGGTCTTGTACTTTAACTTTTCAAATTCTTTGTGCATGAGCCCTGCGCAAAATTTTAAAAGTTTTGTGGTTCTAGATTTTGGGCACCCATGTCTCCCAGGCCCCTGTTAGAGTTGAGCCCTGTCGAGTAATCATATACCTGTATCAAATCCAAATTCTTGTTGCATTGCAGGTTGTAGCTCCAGTAGAGAACCCACACGCAGAGCATGGCCTGACAGAAAATGTACAGAAGATTATCTCCAATGAGAAAGTAGAGGCGGAAAAGCAGAGCAGACCTAAAGTTGACCTCCAATCATTGACAACCAGGAGTTACCTCGATCACACCGTAGTACCCATCCTCCTACAAGCGATGTCAGCACTGGCGAAAGAGAGGTAGGTTTGTCTGCTTAGATTGTTCACATAACAGTGTATTTCTGAAACCCATAAAGTCAGAAATTAGTCAGCAATTTACTGTGTTTTTTACATTCAGTAAGTCTCTTATGAATTCAAGCATGGTTTTGGCGACATGTGTGCATCTGTAAGGTCTAGAAGTACTGGGTAAGTGTCTAGAAGTTGCAAAGTTGTGAAGGTCAACATATGATGTTTAGGCAAACATTTTGTTTAATTTGTTAGATTTACTTTTATGGACAGAATAGAGATGCATGTATGAATAGATACCCTGTAGAAGATTATTTGTTATTCTCAAAATAGGTATTTGTGATTTATTGAATGATTCGGTGTTGACCTTCATGGATTTAATTGCATGTAAATTTCAAGAGTGCTTGCTCGTACAAATATATGTGGAAATCGAGCAGATGTGTTTGGGACACTTCAATTCATTCTTATCAAAAAAATGTAAATGTAAGTTAGAATGAAATCTTTTTTACTAATTTTGTACTGTCTAAAATTCCGTGACAGGTCTACTGTTCTCATGTCTTTATTCATTTCTTCCACATATATCCCCTAATACATTGATGCAAACCTAGTACAACATTGAAAAACAATAGATTCTATACAGCTTCTATTTCTGCCATTCATAAATTGAAGATAAAAAACTTTCCAGAATCAAAATTAGATAACACGATTACCAAATTCTTGTATTCTTTCTAATCATGTTTAAAATTCAACTTTCACATTTAGTTTTAGATGCAAGAAATGCATAACATTTGCAATTAACTGTTTTCTTCTTTCTCTTGGACAGACCGCCGAATCCCATCGAGTACCTAGCAGCCTACCTCTTGAAGAACAAGGACCAGTTTGAGAATTAAACCACAATCAGTGATGAAGATAGAACTCTGAAATTTTGCTTTCATCTGCTAAATCATGCAGCAATACCAATTGGAGAGGGGCAAGGCAGGCAGGGCAAGGCGATTTGGGCAGGGCTCAATCCTCAGTATGGTTACCCTCACTCCGCATAGGGAGATGAAGGAGGATGGAAATTGAGTATTTAGACGAGTGTTTTGGAATGTTTTTGTAGCCATGTTTTGATTAGAATCCACACTTTTCTGTGGTCATTTTCTTTTCTTTCCAGTTAGTGCTAGCTTTTCGTGCATATTACATTTTCAGATTCCAGTAGTTGAATGTGTGTGTTCTATTCTTTATCTTTCCTTTTTTGTCCTTATATGTATGATATTTAAAATGATTATATTTGTGTACAAAATGTATTCCAGAGAAATCCAGATACTTATAAAAGTATAAAAGTTTTATATGTGTGGAAAATAGCAAGAGCTGTATGTCATGTCAATTTTCCATTGTTAATAACTTCATGTCATTGATTGCTGAAATTTGGTTTCAAAGTAAGATATTTAACCTTGTACACAATATATCCCTCATTAAAATATTGTGCGTGTACAAACAAATTAATGTGAAGTGAATTCAATTCTTTATACATATTCAACCTCCTTTGTGGTAGTTTTTTTCCATTTGATAATGAGATTTTATTAAATTTTGTGTTCCTGTACAAACTATGACTTCTTGTCCTTTGTGAGAATGTGATGCCTCAATATACAAGAGAATAGAAGTATGAATTGTTAAATTAGCCCGGAAGGAAATTCATGACAATTAAAGTGACTTGGTAACAGTGTTGAAGGTTGATGCAAAAAATTGCTTAATTTTTGTATAAAATGTTACTTACTATATTCCTTCTGCTGTACTAACCCTTTGACATGCAAAAAATTCTGGAAAAATTCTGAAACCACAAAGATATCTATGGTTTTCTTTGAAGGCGTCGATGTATGACACCCTCTAACAGTAACAGTGATTAACAGTAAATTCTCCCAACCGTTTTTCCATGAAAAAAAAGACATAAAACAGGCTATAAAATTTTCTGTCAACACTTAAATGTCTGGAATGGAATGTAGAGCCAGTTTATTGCTTTGTGAGATTACTATTCACCTAAAATGTAATAAAATTGTAATAATATAGTTGGAGAATTAAGGAATCGATCAGATCAGTTTTTCCCAATTTGTACCATGAAAAATGGTCCGTTTTCACTCAAATTTTCAGATTATCTTTAATTGTACATCTAGCATTGAAGTCACTACCTTAGCACCACTATCTCTCATCTGAACAATGTTACCAAGTCCCTTTAAAGGGCGATTGTACCGTGAAAGCAAAAATAAGCAAAACAGATACCGTACTAAATTGAAGTTGAACAATCAATTAGATGTTCATTATTCATGGACATCTCACATTCACAACTTCTTATTACTTGTCCACTTTTGTTCCAACTATTATGTGTTGCTATGATGTTTTTGCTTTATCGTACAATACAATTAAAAATACATGTGTCTGATGCACATTTGGTCCAGGCTCCACCCTGCATGTTGGATTCGCCTGTCTTACTTTGGAAAATACCTTAATACCATACAATTAGGGTAATTGTCGTTTTAAAAAGTGAGTACATGTAAAGTATTTGTGCATGGTATCTGAAGATCCACATTAGACAGACTAGATTTCATGGCATATCTCCAATTATATTAATAATGGTATATTTCCCACCCCCCCCCCCCCAAAAAAAAAAAAAAAAAAAAAAATTCTGTCATCTCCTTTTCTATTCTTGTCTTATCTATCCATCTATTCATAATGTGCTATCTAAATAACACAAATGCCCAAATATTATTGATAGTCCTGTGAAATAAGTGAAAGCGTTATGCATAGAGAGTTTCAGATTTTACTGAATGTACATGAAAGAATGAACTATCTGGGTTTGAGCATATTTTTGTTGTTGAGGGATTATCCAAGGGTACTTTACATGTACTAATAGTCCCCCCCCCCCCTGTACTATATGCCATTCAAATAATACATGAGTTTATTTTTTTGTTGTGAATTTTATAGGCAAGATCATGTAAATGTGGTGAAACTTGGGTTCATGTCTTCATGATTGCCATTTATAGGACTTACTGTCAACTTAGACACACTGATTCTTCTTGAATTACATGCAGATTATTTTTCATAGAGGATTGACCTATAACAGATTCTCATACATCTCATCTTGCCAAATTCATAGTTACAGGTATTTTCAAGTTCATTCTACAGATTTTCTTCTTTGATTCACACAATAGCAACTTGCAAGTACAAGTTCATTCTACAGATTTTCAACTTTCATTTACACAATAGCAACTTGCAAATACAAGTTCATTCTACAGATTTTCAACTTTCATTTACACAATATCACCTTCCGAATACAAGTTCATTCTACAGATTTTCTTCTTTGATTCACACAATAGCAACTTGCAAGTACAAGTTCATTCTACAGATTTTCAACTTTCATTCACGCAATAGCAACTTGCGAATACAAGTGAAACATACCAATGTACATAAACACACATAACAAATATCTACTTGACACGGTTCAATATTTCATTTTATTGAATTGTAAATGTACATTATCTTACATAGTGATATTTTGACAAAGGGATAATAAGTTATCAGACATCAAAATGCTCCTTGTGCCAATGAAATGGTACCTGATAACATGTGAGGGGGGAAATTTAAAACAAATAAAAACTACAACCTTGAAGAAGAAAAAAAATTGAGAGAGGAAACAATTGGCAGGAGACCACAATATATATGCAACATACACTAAAAAGGTATGTCAAATCTGACTGAAAATCTTGCATATCAAGCAATACAATGTGATTTATGATGCCATGGAAATCAAAAGCAATTTTTTGTTACTATGTAGAGAAATTTAACCCCTCCCAAAATAATTAGGCATACATAACAAAATGCTAAGTAAGACCTGCTGATATGAATATACAATCTCACAAACCAGCAATCTGTTGCTTCATAACTTTTTATATAAATGAAATATAATAAGAAGGGATAACCATCTGGCAGAAATTTATTTCGGCAGTCAAATTTGTTTTGATCCTTTATTTTCAGACTATATTAACATGGTTAACTCAGAGCTTTTCAAAACTTGATTAAAGTAGTAAATAAATGCCTCAAAAGATTTACCAGTAATTAATAAACCAAAATCAGAAAAAAATAGCATACTCATGAATTTTAAGAATTATTGAAAATGCATTTAATTTTTCCCATCTTCTACAACAACCTTCATCAAAATATATAACATGAAGGAGACTCCTCTTTGGGGGCAAAAATCAAATAATAGTACAATATTTAAATTTCCACACTCATCGTATTTGGTATGGGACATAATCCTGCAGACTGAATAATACAGTCCTGAGATCCTCCTTTCCAGACTCCTGGAATGTGTCCAACATGGTCATGTATACAACATTATACAGTGGTGAATCCTGTATTTAAAGACTGCTCAAAGGAGACAACAAAAGCAGTCTTGGCAGGTGATCATGAAGTACATGTTTCTTTTACAGTACATGTTTTAATGGGAAATGCTATTCAAGCGAAACAGAAGGTGTGGTCTATATAGACAGGTGGTATTTCTATACAGATAATTGCTAAAGCAGGTTTTAAATGTACAAAGGAAATGATTGAATTTAAAGTTCCTGTAGTTGCTCTTTGGACATTATTATTAAAAACCATCTTGGAAGTAACAAGCCAAGTTGAGGATCCATCTACATCAAAGGACCCTACTTCCTCCTTGAGCTACGACGTACACCTGCTGCAGGCGGTTGAGGCGGTGCCGCTGCCGCCTTAGCACCCCTTCCTCGCCCCCTTCCTTTACCTGCTTTAATAGGTGTGGCATCTGCTTCCTTTGCTTTCTCCTCCTCTTCTTCATCTTTAGTTGGCGTACCCTCATCTTCAGGTTGTTCTTCTGTCTCCATCTCTTCACTTGTTTTCTGCTCCATATCTTCGCTTGTTTTCTCCACCGTCTCTTCGCTCTTGATAGCCTGTTCAGCAGCTGCTGCTTCAGCAGAAGCCACTCTCTCTCGCTCTTCTGCTTCACGTTTCTCTGCTTCCTCCTTCTTAATTTGCTCTGATACTGCAGCCAGTATTTCTTCTTTTTCCTTCTTTAACTTTTCTTGCTTTAGTCTCTCTTCTTCTGCCTTCTCTCTAGCAACTCTTTCTTCTTCTTCCTTTTTCTTCCTCTCTTCTGCCTCCTTCCTCTCACGCTCCTCTCTCTCCTTTACTGGATCTGTTTCCAGCACTTTCATGATTGCCTTGGGTACATGTGCTTGCTATATAAATTAAGGAAGAAAAATAAATGTACAATATCACTGACCACATGATCATGAATGTAATTGTTGGAGTTGGAGTTATTTCTCGGCATCAAAGTCTTTTTCTCTCTTTTTAAAGACCTTAATTTAACATAAAGACCTGCTTTTTGGTTATCAACAAAAAGAACAATATCTTCCAAAACAGACATCGAGGGCAAAAAAGTGTAAGATATGACAAAAAATATTTCTCTTTCAAAATCAGTATTTTGTACATGACTTTTTTAAATATATAAAGAAACAGATTGTATTCCAACCTACTGGACTATTTTGGGGTAGAAAATTACGAACTTAAATTTCTAAGATCTTTATCATAGATTTAATAAACAATTTCATACATAAAATTCAATCTGTGCAAGTACAAACAATCCATGTTATGATGAATATTTTCACACCAAAACCCTATCACGGCTTTGTAATTAGATTTACCTGATGAGAAGAGAATTCCTGTACATGAGATAAAAGCTTCAATCTCATATCCTTGCTCATCTCAAACACTTCAGTCAGCTGAGGAGGGGGTAGCTGTAGAAGTACTTGGAAAGACTGAGGTATGGTTCGCTGTTGTGGGGCAATTATGTAGGAAAGTATTAATAATAAAGACAAAGGAATCATCGGAGTCAGAAAAGGAACATTTGTAGTAATTCCCCCTAGTCTTTCACATGTACAGGCCATTTGAAAACTAGTCAACATGATGAAGGTAACTCTGCTGCTCATTGTGTTCTTGCATCATAATATCATTGGCTTCAAGAAAAGAAAACAAAGTGGCCACTGCTTTTATGTATGGGTGGAAGCAACATGAAAGCCAAGTGTGTTCAGCATGTGTCTCTCATTCGAAAGGTCCCTTATCTTTCCTCAAACTGAGTTGCATATGAGTTTCTGTGCCACTTGGAAAACTCATTTAAAACCTAATTAAATTTCTCCCTATCATGCAATGTGATTAATGTAAAGAGCTTGGAATTCATTATATTAAACACTATATCCTTGTATTTGGCTAATAATATGACCACTAAGTTTGAATCATTTGGAGACGGTTTCACATCAACTTTGTATGCATTTCCAATGGATTTCTAAGGACCAAACAAATACCCTGACACGGATCTCACCTCGCAGCACTTGACGAATCCCTCCCACAGCTTAGGTGTCTTCCAGACCTGTTTGTTGATCAGTCTTAGGAGAAGGTTCATGATGAATCCTTTGAGCTTAGGATACATGGAGAGAGACTGGATGATGGTCCTAAGGAGGAGGGTTGGGAGAGGTGTCTGCTCCATCAGCTGCTGCATCACCACTGCTAACACCTCCCCGGTGTAGATAGCTTTCTCACTGAAACAAAGGCTAGTTGCTGTTGAGCAAATCAAAAAATGATTGATGATTATTAAAGTGTTTGACATTTATTTTGTCATTGAGTAATAACAAGGAAATGGTCAGGATTGCAACAAGTTTTGAAAGTGAAATTGTAAATTCTAGATTTAGACAGTCATCTGTTTGTGGATCAGTGTTACTGTCAAACCCCACAATAGGACAATTACTGATGAACATGGCTGGTCTATTAAAGCAGCAAGCAGATAAAACATATGGAGGTGTTCACATCAAACACCTGTATCCTCTAATGATTTCACTAGACAGTTTCAATGTAGACATGTTATGTGAATCTTTTCTCATCCGACCCCCATAACCTTTTTTAAATAACCTTTCTCATCAAAATAAGATACGACATGAACTACAATATGCCCACATGATCTTTTAACTTTCTTTTTTTATAGAGAGACAAAACATACAAAATAATTGTATTATTCTTTTATGGAAAGGACACTTCTTAAACAAATATATATTTCTGTGCATTACCTTTGATGATGGATTTCATATCACACTTTGTCGGATCAATGTTATGAAGAGCAACGAGAAGCTCTGCTGGTGTCAAAGGGCTTTGACCTCCACTGCTTTCTGCCTGATGACTCATGAGAAGACGATGGAACACCTCCTTCACTACGATGGGGTTTAGACGTATCAACTTGGGCATGGCAGATATCACATCTTTCTATGGGGGCAACAAGGTGTGGGTTCAATCATATATTAGCTTTCAAGTCATACAACATGCCTTGTCTGTATGAAGAATGGGAGCACTGCTCTAACTATATCTCTTACAGAAAGAAGGGTGGAAAAATATGAAAATTTACCTCCCTCAAAACAGGAGAGTAAGAATTGATTTTCATTATGTCAAAAACTTGTTTGACTCATAAAAAAAGTATGATGTATTATAATACTGCCCCCATCTAAAGCTCCACAAATCAATACACAATGAATATGCTTAAACTTTCATTTGGACGCTTTTTCATTCAATAATAATATTTATTCTTGTCCAGCTCAGAGCAAAATCATCAGATGTGATTTAATAGACTGACGCACAAATTTCTTGTAACATGGACACAGGAAGCAATTTGGACTAGTTTCTTACCTTTTCAAGCCCAGTTAGGATAGGAATAAGGAACCTCACATCTGATACTCTCTTGTGATATAAATCTTTCACTCGCTTCACCAGTTCAACAGATGGTGGAGCTAAAGAAAGGAGAAAACAGCACTTTAGACCTTACAGAATTTCAAGCTAAATATCATTGTATATTTAATATCAAGTACGTCAGCCAAAGTCATTTTATATCTGATGTAGCTGTACATTCAAGCAGCTTTCTATGATTCAAAACGACACAATAACTTTTTACCTCAAATTCAACCATACAGAGAGGCAAAATTCATTAGAAAATAAAAAGATGATATTCAGCGTAAAATATTAGCGAGCTTTCATACTACCACTTTGCATTATGATACTGATACGCCAACCCCAAAACTATCTTTGATGATGCCGTGAAATGTTTGACTCATCCCATATGAATGACTTACTCTTGTCTGTAAGAATATGCATCATTCTGGTGACGAGTGTCTCAGCTCCTTTAGGACATGTCTCCACCAGGAGCAGTAGCTCTGGAGATACCATACCAACACCTCGAACCTGACAAGTGAATACATTGATGAAGAAAGTACATGTGCAAATAATATGAAATACAATGTGTGTCAAATCTATGTATTGTTATTCAAGGCTATTTTATATGCGAGATTGCCTTGTTTTGTGTGTACTATATTGTATGGAGACTCCCGAATAGGCCTGTCAAAGTTGGTTTTCTCTTGTTCAGATGATCGTATGTATCACTAATCTATCAAAAACAAAAGTAACTACACATTTGTAATATATGAAACATACAAGTTTGTGGAGCACACAAGGTAAAATTAGTATAAAAGTGTACACTACTATAGGAAAAAAGGCAATATTAAATGACATAAAAGCAACTAACCTAAAAGCTAAAAACATAACTTGACTTCTATGAATAATCCTTCATCAACATTTCAAATTACTTATCAGATCCTTCTTATCTTCTTTCCCTGATCTCTTAACACTTTGGAAAGAATAATAAATCTGATTTTAGATATTTCTGTAAAGTCTCGCAACTTTTGGGATTCCTGCATTATCAACTTACCGGTGTCTCTAAGACTCTGAGTACTGTTCTCTTGATATCTGCTGTGGCTTCTACATACACATTGGCTAATCTGAGATACAAAATAAAACATAATTACTATCATAATTAGTGATTGTAGGTTATTGTTGTCTGATCTACATACATTGAGGGGATGCTAATTTTGAAATAAAGATAGAAGTATCTTCCATTTTTTTTTTACTCAAGGCTAGTAAGTTACACAACAAAATATATTCACAAATTTTGTAGTGTACTAATCTACACCTTGCTGAATCTGCAAGTTACAATAAATTCAAATCTCAGAGTCTTAATAACCAATTCAATTTTAAGGACAATCCAACATTCTTGGAAAGTTTTTCTGAGGAAAACTTTACGATTTCTTAAATTTCATCTTATTACTTTTACACTTGCACTTATCTATTATTAAGATTTTTCTTGCATTCACAATAACATGCTGTTAAGCCTAAATTGACCTGCACAAAGTGATATCACTGCAAAACTTACTCATGAATGAGTTTATGATTGATTGGTAGGAGAGCTAGGTAGAGATAGAGACACATCTTGGCAGTCTCTTCCGTCCAGGCTTTCGCAGCCGTAGCCTGCATCTCCTGATCGGCTAAACGCAACACGAGGGTCGCCGGTGGTCTATTCAGCAGAAGCTTACGCAGGAATGAGGTAGCAAACTCCTATAGTAGGAACAAAGCAAAAGGGATATAAACATGGGGCTTTTCAATGAACTTTTTAAAAAGAATTCTACAAAACAAGTCAGTTGTAAAAAGATACTGTCTTTAATACAAAATGTACATATAGTAAACATGAGCGTAAAAGGGTAGAGCACAGGTGAATACAAGAAGTGTAAGGCTTGGTCCACTAGCACAAATATACAATGATACATAACAAAGTGGGTATCTCTCCCAGACTACAGATGACTTCAACAAGTTGGTTGTGATTATACCTTTCTTTAGGGATCTCATAATGTATGGCTTGGGACCTACCCTATGTTCTCACATGATGGGTCAGGTCAAAGGTTAAGGGTTACATGTCATAATTACCTGAATGACTGTCTTAAGATCAAGTCTTTAATGGGATCTGTTTGTGTACTATATGGCATATGCCCTGACCTCTATAGTCTTTAGCTTGGTCAGTGGTTCTAGATTAAGTCCTTTATAGAACCAGCTCTTGAGGGGTCACATCAAAGATTAAGGGTTAAAATACTTTAAAAATTACCTCAATAAGTGGCTTGAGATCAGATCTTTCATAGAATCTCTTGATGTACTGTATGGCCTGTGACCTGACCTCTGTTCTCTCATGCTGGGTCAGGTCAAGTAGCTCTTTCACATACTTCTCCAAATCAGCTGGTTTCTTCAGAATCAGCTCTCGAAGGGCATGCATACCAGCATAAAAATGAGTCTGAAAAATGGACAAAGAGATACAAACCAGTTGGTTAGCCCCTCTCTTGTGATAGTGTTTCAAAAGATAAGATACTGTAATGGTTCCTCCTATCTATCAAACTTGAGAAATAGGAAAAATGCAGTACATCGGTTCATATTGAAACTTATCATCTATACTGCTTTGCATTCTTATCTTACCGGTCAATATTTACAAGCTATGCCAAGAGAATATACTCTCATCCAAAATGGAATGTAATCAAAATTCATGGCTTACAACAAAGGGTAAAATATTATGCCAGAGGAAATAAAATCACTGTACATTACAGTACCAGACACTAACCTCATCTTCGCAGAACTGTCTAATGACTTTAAGAGCATCATCTGTAATGACAGGTGCCTCCATGACAAGCCTGTTGAACAACCTGTACAACGTGAAAAGAAAGACATGACTTAGGTACTGTTAAAGTATCACAATGCAGAATCAAGACTCTCTACTTGAAAGCCAAAACAATTGTCTAAGGTTGAACATATTTCCAACAAGATTAAAATAGACATATTTCAAGCACTTATTAAGTTACAAACTGAATACATTTATATTGGTCTCAGAAAATGGTGAATAGACATGAAATTTAATCATTACCCATCTCTCTGATCTGTCCTCACGAGCAAACTCTTGAGAAGGTTACATAGAAGGCTATCGTATCGCTGTGTGGTTACATCTTGGCCGTGGGTATGAGGCATGTAGCCCTGGATGTTAGAATACTCCTGGTAGAGCCATGCCAAAGCTATGTCACTGCGGCTCCGCAGATCCTCCAAGATGTGGTTCTCCAGCACTGAAAGACAAAGGAAGAGAAATGCAGAATGACAAGATTTGTTTAGGACAAGAGGTTAGTATGATACCTCAGTCACACCAATATACTGGCTACAGACCAACTCCAAACCGATTGATTCTTGGCCATTAGAGGTTATGTAATTTTTTTGTTTGGTCTGTTGTCAGTCTGGTGTCAGTCTCACTGGTGTGACTGATACATAAGGTAGAAATGACCTAACACCCTTTTCCACTTTAATACATTGTAGCCAATATAGAGAGTACCTAAAGTCTTTCCATCCCTAATCATCCACATATTTTTTAAATTTTAAATTATTGTATTGTGATTTATTCCTTATACCTGAAAGATTGACACAGCTGATACAAACAAAGCATTGTCATGACTATGAATATAAAGTTGCTGCTAGTTACTAGTCTATACATCTGTGTTGAATAGAGACTGCAATGCTTTCTGGGCTTTCACAAGTTCACAAAAGGTAATAACGTCTTGAAGCTTGTTGCAACCTGTGTCATGGGAAAGATGCGATAGATATCAAGAATTATGAAAGATTGCATATGGCAGAAGAAATGTAGTAACAATACTTACAATCAGACAGGTTTCCTCCAAACTGTGTGACAAGAGCAGAGAGAATCTTGGTTCTTGTTTTTGCTGCAGGCCCGTGGCTTACAGCTTCTAAAATGAGGAAAATAGGAAACATATCCCAGGTATCAAATTATTCACTGACAAAACAAAATCATATATTATCAAGTGTAGCCTCTTAAATACAAAGCACAAGATAACTTGGTCTAGAGTTTTTGGAAAATTCACATTATATCAGATATGTAGTGAACCAGTTAATGAAATCTCATATCATTCATAAACATTCTACCTTGTTCTATTTAATTATTCTAAAGCATCTCTTAACATCAATCGGCTTTTACAAAATAGTAGTGACAAGAATAGGCTATAATAATTATAGCATCACACATCAAAGAGAGATCATAATAAATTCAAGACAAAAATATAGTAATATACACTTATTGCTATATATTGCTACATAATCCATTTCATTCCTCTGTTATCTTTAAGTGAAAAACCTTTAAAAAAATGAAAATGCTGTTTATGCTTACTTTCTGCAGCAATTATCCTCTTGACAGCTCCATGGGCTAGCTTGTTGGCATCATCTTTAGACAAGAGATGGGTGACCTCTCGAAGTTTGAAATGCTTGGGTCGCTTCCCCCCTTTGGTAGGTTGGGGCTCCATCACGATGGGGGCTTTCTTCTTTGATTCATCAGTAGGGGGCGCTTTACCGATATAAAAGAACAATAGAATGGTACAAGGTCATGTATGGAAAATAATTTCCCCCTTGATATTAGAGAACTGAGAGGTCCCTGTATTAAGCATTTGATTCAAAGCTTTGATGCTCTATTGCAGTAGGGGCTTTGTTTTTTGTTCATTGTTAGAGGGTGATTTACCAATACTATGATGAAGAATCAAGTCATTTTAATCAGGTCATGTGCTAAAACCATTTAACCCCCTAACACATCGCCTATGGAAACCGAGTGGTCCCTGCATTACGACTATGGGAATGAGAAAAATTTGTCCGTAATGGGTTGCTTTGAGGCTCTATCACAGTTGGGGGATTTCTTATTTTGTCCTTTGTGACAGGGTGCTTTAAAAATAATATGACAAAGAACTTAGTCATTTATATATAAGAGACCCCCTTAAAAAATTGGAACTCTACAACAACCAGGATTTTCTCTGTTGGTTTAAAGTAAAGTGGTATAGCATATATACTTCAACTTGACTAGAATTTATCTCTTGTGGTAAAATGGAGAGAAGCACATACAATACATATTTCAAACTCATAGTTCTTATTACCACTTTTTCCTCCGAGAACAGGAATGCCTTTGGTAGTGAAATCTTCTTCTTCCATCTTCTCTGGTGGTTCTTGCTCTTCTTCTACTTCCACATTCTGCATCAAAACAAAACCAATGAATCCATATGACAACTGTATCAGACAAAACTTCACCATTTTAAGGACAAATGAAGACATGTAGTTACATGTGTGAATTTAAATATTGAATTTAAAGTTATTTTATTTTTAAGAGGCTTTCATAGATAACATTCACATGCAAGTGTTATCTAATGGTTGTAATTCTAGACAATGTTGGTAATGGTCAAATTCAAATATACTAAAACTAATGTTATTATGTTAAGAATGGTCACATGACATATATGTACACAGTGTAACAATGTGGAGGCTTTCAAGTACATCATCTTTTATAACACAAATAAAATATTCACCACTGAAAACAAGGCATTTAAGGCATACAGAAATAAAAGAAATCATTTGATTCAGATATTTGAAGAAGAGAAAGAGGTAAAATGGGAAGAGGGGTAGATTAACAGAGGGAAAATGACTCAAGTGTAAATACAGTATTACAAAATAGTTTCTTAAAGGACTTCCAATAATTAGTGGATTATGACCTCGCTTCAGACTATTGTAGAAGAGGTATAAGGAGCTCATACTTCTCCTCGATTTTCCCACACTCACCTCATAATTGCTAGGTTTGATACCAGCAGCAGCCAGCTGATTGCTCACCATCCTAGCTAAATGTTGGACTTGAGTATCTGTACCCGCTGCAGCAATGGGTGTGTAAGTAGCCAGGAATGTGGCTGGCATTGTCTCTGGTAAGGAAACCTGCAATAAAAATTGAAAAGATAATGTAAATTTAATTATTTCTTTGTAGTCACTAGATTCTGTATTGTGGTCCTTGACCAATACCTGTGTCATGTCTTTCTTTCACATCGTACAGGTTGTTCAACAGGCTTGTCCTGGAGGCAATTCATTTGGTAAGAATAAAATAAACCATGTGATTTCTCTTAGTTTAAAGTACTTGCTGATCAAATACGCAATCCACATTGGTCTCAATCACAGCAAGAGTTGCATGAATACATGAATCTTAAAATTTTCTGTCTTTGTTTCTAAAAGCCACTGTTCCAGTAGCACATATTACATGCACGCCAGTTATCTACTCACTAGAAAGTTGCGTAGTTCAAGCAGATGCATTTTCCCCAAAAATAACTTGTCTTCTTCAATACTGAATGAAATTGGGAATCCCTAATATCAAAACATGCCAAATATCATCATAAAAGATCCTATACACTTGCTGGTTTATCATGTGAAAGCATACAGGCTGCTTAGGACAATTGGGTGCAAAGGGCTTGAACAAACACTTTTTGTTTGGTATTTTGCTTTAAATACCTACCATACTCAAGAGAACCAGGTTTGCCACATTCTCATGGTTACGGAGCAAAGGTTCAATCTCATCTGCTAAGAGATCAATCACGGTTGCCTTGGTAACCCTTTTGCTTGGTCCTGGTTCATCTTTCTTCTTGTCTGCTGCTTCATCTTCTTCATCATCATCAAGTACCTGGTTGTGAAAGAAGGATAGCCCATCATTTTATTTCATAAGTGAACGTATAAGGCTCATGATAAGAACTAAAATCTATTTCTGGTAAGATAAACACTGTAGCCCCTCATGCATGTCTGACATAAGTAGAATTAGAACCCAAAACATATCAATGAAAGTTTTTTGGGGAAAAAGGGACATGGAATAGAACTGGGGGATAGGGGAAGGATGTCGGGTAACTGGTAATTGCTGGGGCATTTTCTTGTGCATTAATTTTCCTGAAAATCTGCACATATGGAATGATTCTTGACACCTGAAGAAGACCAACTTAATTTAGACCATCATGAAAGATAATATCTCTCATTCTCTTGTTACTTGCCTTCTGCTTTTTCCTTTTGCTCTGATCACTGTCTGCCTCTATGCGTGGCCGCTTTGGTCTTTCTGAAACCCTGGGTGTGTTTCGCATTATCTGAAATGAAGTATCATAACATGAAATGTCAAATACAAGCGAAGTACATTTAGACATAGCATGAGACATGTTCTCTATATAACTTCTAATCTCCTCATGAAAACAATGCTGCACGTCTTCCAGATTTCCTATTGCTCATAATTGTGTTCTCGTTCTTTCCAGTCGATGAAAAGTGATATACCAAATTAAAGTGCTTTCGATATAACAGACAAAGCTACAATAGCTGTGCTCTTCATCTAAAATATTAATCATTCAAACATTCTTCTAAGTTTTGAGAGACAAAACTAGCTATGCCATTCTTAAATAGATTCATTGACTTCAAAGAAGTAAATTCATTGTTGAGTTTAAATCAGTCTGAACTTACCTCTGTTTCAGATGCTCCCAAGTCAGTGAGGAGTGTTCCAATGTTACGTCTGAGATCAACAGACGACTGGTGCCTTAGAAGACCAAATAGCTGGATCTGCATACAAGGTAGACCAACAAAATACTTTTGAAAGATGCAATGAAATAATTCATAAATACTCACATCAATTACAGTTGATATGTCATGCAAATTCAGGTCTTCAGCTTCACATTCTTTTAAGGACGATACAGTGGATATATAAAGCAGGATGTATTGACAAATTGCTAATCAATATCTATCATGGTGATGAAATAAATGTCAAAGATATCTAGATGAATCCTTTGATTTCATAAACTTCAATTTACGGCACTCACCTTAAGTGTTTTCCGGACACTGCTTACTTGTGACTTTGACAAGGTCGGAGGAAGGTTCACTGTAAATTAAAACATACAATAATGTTAATATGACAGCAAGTTTCCAATAAAAATGGTGTAAAGCTTTAAACAAGAAATAAGTAATACTACAGAGAGAGATTTGTAGTCACTATGAAGTCTCTACCCTGATCTATTTGAAAGTATCAAGACTTACCGTGTAGATTCTCAAATGCCTGGATGACTTTAGGCATGAAGTCTGGTCTCTGTTTAGCAATAGATGTCAGTGCTCCCATACACACCATCAGATTAATGCTGTAATAAATCAAATTTTAAAAAAGGTAAATAAATAAGCTGCACATTATCTGCTTCAAAGAATTGTACAACATTTGATATCAACATCTCTGAGACATAACATATATACAAATTTTACAGCACAGCATCACATGTAAATTAGCATACCCAGGTTAAACTCTTATGGTACTTAGCATATGTGAAAAGAAAAAAAAGGTAAAGAATGGAATACAAAACAAGGCTCACATCATACAAGAACCTATTGTCACATCATACCAACTTAATTTTCCATTTTTAAAAAAGAAATTACAAAATGATTGACAAAAAGTGCAGTTAGAAATATCCTATAGTAAATTGAGATACCGGGTATATTCTATCTTATTGTGATTTTCAATAGAAACCCTTTTCCTCCAAGTCCAAACACACCACATAAATTCTTTAACCAATTGTCAAACAATAATCACTCCATTCCTCCAGCAATATGAGAGTATTCTGACCTGGATATACTTGCAGACACCAAGATACTCAGCAGTGAATCCAAGGATTGCGTTCCTTCATGCTGAAGCTTCTTCTTGTGAAGAAGAGAATTACCATCTGGGAACTGATACGAGACAAACATGAAATGGGTTAGAACTGTATACAATAGTCAATACTCTACAGATTCTCTCTAGTTTTCATTTCATTTGGAAGGTTATCCAAATCATGATAAAGCGTGAGCTACACCTACAATAAGCTACCCAGTAAAATAAAAGCTTCAGAATGGTACATAAAAAGAATTAATAACTGTTGCCCTAGCATATTGAGAGAGATAGTTGTGACACATGCGCATATACGCAATAAAAGGTCAATTCGTGGAGCTCCAAATAGCTCCCTCCCATTGAGATTGTATATTGGAGGGAACTATTTGGAGCTCCATGAATTGAACTTGATCACGTACATGTGTGCACGTCACAACAATATCTCAATACGCTTTGACTGTTGCCAACGACCAAGCCATGCATAGAAAAAATAAGATCAAGAAAATCCATCAATCCATGTGAGCTGGTGAGAAGCCAGAGGGATGACAAATTTGACCCAATCAAGAATTATTTTGTATCAATTGAATGAGATTTATGAAAGAAATTGTTAAAAATTAGAAACCTGATCCAATGTGATATCTTGCTCAGCTCTCTTCGGTACTACTGAATCAGATGACTTGGCAGACAACGTGATGACAACCATTTCCGCAAATTTGATGGCATACGTTCGTACCCTAAAATATAAAGAAGTTAGAAAAAGATTGTCAGTTGAGGTTCTCCAGTTATCTTATCTAAACAAACAAATGAACTTTTACACAGGATTAAGCAATCACAGACATTTCACAATCTGATTTTCCCCCCTAAAAAATCCAATAATACATGGTATACAGAAATAATTCCCAGAGATTAATTGATTTCCACTTCTTTGACAAATAAGGATACAAAAAAGTTTATAGAACTATTAGAAATTAAAACTAAGCCTGGAAAGCATGGGAAGCTCATAATGCATGGTGTTAATAACTTGATCACATGAGTACATAATTGTGAAACAAACAAATAAGCACCTTACTAATCACACAATTTTTAGGAAAGAAAACCAATTTGTTAATAAATACTAACCCATCATTATCATCATCTAAAAGCTCAGACACAATCTTCTTCTTCATTAACATCAGAGCTGCCCAGCCAGCCTCCATGTCCTCCTGTAACACTTTCACACCAGCCAGCCACTGCAGAGATGTGATCAAACACAACAAAAATACCATTTTAAAATGTTTAAAAATGTTAAAAATCTATTTTCATAACCAATAGTTTAGGTATCTTCTGAAATTGTTAATTACTACTGGCTGTTGGCTTAATCAGACATGTAATGTTTAATTCAAACAAAATCATTTTAAATCTACCGGTACTTCACAAATTGTACAAAACAATACCAGAATCAAGGTTTATTTTATAGTACCTTTGAGAAAAAATATTTCACAGTTTTAAAATGACTGAATGGTAATTATATCTCTTTGGTTTTGTTTGTTCATTAATTTCCTTAATTGCTAATAATTAAGGAAAAAAAGGGTATCGCTCAAGATATCATGACACATGAGTCACCTTTGAGGAGACCATCAACATTTAAATACTACACATAACAATAGCACTAAAGCTCCTGAAATTTATATAAATCTTACCTGTATATCAAAGTTGGTAGATATTGTTTTTCTAAAGGTAATTTATGACCATACAAAATGATATTATGAGGTAAATATTGAAAACAATGAAGTAAAATGGTGATTTCACCCTTCCAACTTCTACACAAGATATAGAAAATAATAAATTATGTGTAGACTGTCATCAACTTTTCCCACTTCTAGGCCATCCCTGTACAACTCACTTTAATGGTAACTCTGTATAGTTGTGAGGTACACAAGATGACCCTCTTGAGTACTGCTGCAGGCTGGTTTTCTTCTGTTAGCATCATATGAAGACGAGGCAACACTGTGCACAACATCTGGTTGTCTTTCTTGCTGCAGGTTGACCAAAACACACAGATAAATAAATCTTAGCCAAATTCAGAGTTTTGCACTGGTGTGATCACCATGCCATTGTTTACACAAAATTTCTGGACAACTTTGCCAGTATGAAATCACACCTCAGTACTCTATATTCTTGCATTACCGGTAGTATAAAAAGATGGAATGAATGCAAATTGCATTTACATTTTGCTTCAATAAAATCTTTGGTGCAGCCAATTTTTTACAGAAATTAGCTTTGATAAGCTTTCAAGAGTCATTTCTAGTGCTGTAGTCAAACGTTTAACCGCCCGGTATCCGACCGCCCATGGCGGATTCCGTTTTCAATTGGACGGTTTCGTTTTCCCGTTTTTTTTTTTTTTTTTTTAATTTTTTTTTTTTTTTTTTTTTTTTTATAATTTTTTTTTTTTTTTTTTTTTTTTTTTTTAAAGTTTCGATTTATGCCCCTCCACCTGGCACTATGCCTGGCAATGTCTCCCAGCTCAGTAATCTGTGTGTTGACTCACCACTCCAAAACTAGAACAACACTCCAATTTGTCTGTCATCTTGGTTTGAAAGTAATCTTTGTAATAGATCTCATCATCTCAATATGTAGTTTATAATAATAATTCATCCAACTTTTACACAAGGTTCGGTCCTAGGTCCTCTACTGTTTTTAATTTACATTAATGATCTTACACATTCTTCTAAAAACAACATTGTTACTATTATTTGTGACAAGTTCACAAGCACAAATCGGCCCCTTTAAATGCACCTCGCAGTTAAATGAAAGTTGCCGACAGAGTCGGTAAAAAAAAAAAAAAAAAAAAAACGATTTTTTTTTTTTTTTTTTTTTTTTTTTTTTTTTTTTTTTTTTTTTTTTTTTTTTTTTTTTTTTTTTTTTTTTTTTTTTTTAAGCGTTTAACCGAAAACCGTCCGGTTTTGACTGGCGGTTAAACGGAATTGGAGATATCCGTGATGTTACAGCACTAGTCATTTCTTTAGCTTTATTCCACTGTTTGATTGTTCAATTCTGCATAACATACACCTGTACATTCCACATTAGGAAACCTCACAAATTTAGGTATACATGTACCCTTTTCCCTTTAATTTCAAAAGGATAAAACTAGCCATTCTTTATTTAAACATATTCGTGGCTTACACCCAGTAAATAAGATCGATTGATCGATCTGTATTGCAAGTCAGAAAAAATCTGGAAACCAGCGGGATTTGAACCTGCCATCTACTGCTTGCCGGGCAGCGACTCTACCACCAGGCCATCACTGGTCCATGGCACATTCATGTTGAACTTTTTTCTGACTTGTTTTTCAATACAGATCGATCAATCGATCTTATTTACCGGGTGTAAACCACAAATATGTTTAAATAATTGAAATTTCTCCCAGGAAGCATTACATTTATAATAGCCATTCTTTGTTAAACACACATTGTGAAACATTTGAATTCTTGGGAAATATTTGCCACCAAAATTAGAGCTGGTTAAGAAATCAAACAAGATTTGCTCACCAGGCACATTCTGCAAAGCTGAGGACAAAGTTCCTTACTTCCACTGACTCATCAAACTGGAACTGAAGAACTTCCTGCACGTATAAGAAAAAGAAGGTGAAAAGTCTCACTCAAAACTCACTTATTTCATGATCTTCCAAAACACAATGCAATCCTTACACTGTTTATCCACCTGATGTCCTCGTATTCTTTGTAGCATTTGTTAATTGCAATTCAAAAATCTAAAATTCACAGTACATACCCTTCTTCACTTTGTTTCTTTTTATGGTTTGTTTTACCTTTCACAAAATAGTTTATATTCATGTAACATGTAGTGCTTTCCCCAATTAGCAAATAAGTTTGCGGACAACCCAATGACACATGCATGTACTAAATTTAACATGTTTCCATGCATGGGATGTAGGTAAACTTGTACAACGGTAATAACATTTTTGTAAAATGATGCCCTGGTTTTCAATGAGTTAATTACAACCTACAAACTATGGTAAGAAAGTCAAAACTCACATCAAGGAAATTGTCAAGTAGAGATGGATCCTTCTCGATAATGAGTTCCTGGACATGGCTTAGGTTGCTAATCTTTTGAGAATCCCTTGGTAAAGAGTGGGTTTGTTGCAGCAAGTCAACTACCTGTATGGGAGGAACAAAATAATATATCCGAGCTAGATATTCATATTATTATTATTAAATCTAACACAGCTCCGCATCTCACTCAGATAAATTTTCATCATCTGATCATGCCCATCTATAGTAGATTAGACCCCAATTACATAATGCTTACATGCTGTAATGCTAAAGTTGAATATTTTGGATTATGAAATTGCAAACCACCATTTGCTCAGATGAGCAAATGGTGGTTTGCAATATAGCTCAGCCTCTGCACATGAAGGCTTATTTGATTATTTGATCTCCTTGTCCCCTCCGCATAGACTCTACACACATTTGTGTGATCGAGTGCAGCGCGCAGATGAACAAGTGGTTACCACATTGTATAGCCAACATTTCTACTAAACACAGAGCAAAACTGTTGGCGGTTAAACTAAATATGCATTCAGATTTCAAAATGTTCAGAACCTTGTTTGGAGGATGGGATCTCTCTTTTTTATTCAGAAAATTTCAGATCATCATATTATTTTGTAACGTAGTGTTGCGTGCGGCATGTGCGGTGTCCGGACACTTAACAAACATAAAGACTTCTCTTTAGCCTTCGGACATAATGATAAATGTTCATAAAATAGCATCTACAATCTTAATGTTATAATATTGTCCACCATAAGTCTTTGAAAATTTATTTAAAAAAATATTGCTTGTAAACTTCTTCAAATTGCTGTTTTATACAACTGTCAAAACACACATTTGCTGGGTATGTTACTGAAACAGTTTTATCCCCTCCAAAGGCAATGCAATTACACTATTTCACTTGACAACATGTCTTTATATTTCATTGTAACAGAAATGTTTCCGTTTCCATTGGATTTGACTTTTGAGCTTTGAATTGAAATTGAAAGAACATTATTTCACCCGATCAGAAATGCTTTGGCCATCTGCTCCATCATCGTCCATGAAAAACTGTGAGGCTACAGATAATCTGCTACTTCCAGCACTCATCTTTCACATCTACATAGAGGACATACAAAAGGGGCAAGAAATGTGTAGTTTCAACAAATTAAGACAACAGTGCCGTTTGCGATCGACCAAAACAGGATTGATGCTCGCAGAGTCCGGCTAGCTAGCTCAGCATGCACTGCACTGTACAATATATAATGCGGGCGCTGTGTTGATTGGGATTCTACATCATGTGTATGTAACTGTAAGTCAACGAACTCAAACCATACATGTAAGTAACTAACCTTACATACATACACAATGCACGCGTTCTCTATCTATGGTATCTTCAAAAGAGTTTTTTTCGCGACCCAATCGGGACTTTCCCTATAAATGGACAACTTGCGCGTAGCTCGTAGATCACAAGATCCCCGTATGACATGGAATAAAATGCTGGAGCTGGAGCTGGACTAGGAACTAGCTTATACTCTTTAGGAAGGCATCGACATCGCGTTGTTAACTTAATAGACCAATCCTGAAATAAGAACAGAATAAATTCCACTCTGACGTTCATGACGCTGGTCACCGAGCTTGGAAGAAGTTTAAAAAATGACTAATCTTCCTATTTTTGGTCGTAAGTATAACGTCACTCCCCCACCCCTAATTTGCAAAATATAGTGGAATTGGCCTGTTGATCGAATTCGAAATAAGCAATATCGAGATCCATATTTCCATGATGATGTCAAAAATTTAGTCATCAAGAATTGAGAATTATAGTGAAATAGTTCTCCAAAGTTAATGCAAATCTGCTTTCTCTTCCTTCTTCTGGGAATTAGTGTAGACAGTATAGATCTACTTCATCCTGTAAATGCTGCAATAAAGTATACACATATTTGCAACACCTTTTCCTCCTAATCCCATGAGAATGATGAGACAACATGGACTTGATGCAGTTCCAAGGGAATAAATAAGAATACTACCATGGATGCATGTGCATTTTGAAATTTAATTCTGAAGAAAGTTCTGCATACGCTCTTTCAAAATGGACAGACCATGCAGAAGTGCAACTAGGGTAATGAAGAGACATGTTTTAATTGTGCAAATTAATAAATATCTCTTTGAACTTAATTTTTACAGTTGGAACTTACTGTATGAGAGGTACAGATACTGTCTACAAATGTCTTGACACGGCTCTGAAGCATGGATATCGTCTTATTGGTAAGATACATGTAATTGATGTTCATCAATGGTTGACTGGTGCCACTGCCAGGGTATATTGGGTTATCAAGGATTATCAGGCATTCCAAATAAATATAGTTAATGTTCAGAAAATTCAGTATCATACTTTGAATTTTCATAATATGATAGAGCACAGAAAATATCAGAGTTAGATATTGTCACAGTGAATCTCCATATGACATCATATTAATTGGCTATATTGCAGATTGAAGTATTGATGTGTTAATAATTGTTTTCCTTGTTTTTCATTTTAATACAGACACAGCTACTGTTTACAAGAATGAAAAAGACATTGGTCATGCTTTGAAAGAGCTTCTTCCAAAACATGGACTCTCAAGATCTGATATCTTTATCACAAGTAAACTGGGTGAGCAGAAACATAGCCTATAGGCAATATTCTGTGTGTGGTTGTCCTTTCACTTTTTATTTTCTGAATCTGTCACAAACTACATCTCTCTCTCATGATGAATAGAGGGAATTGAGAATTATGTTTTTGATGTTCAAATTGCCTGAACAAAATTCTGTGTTACAACTCATATTGGTAAATGGGCATGAAATTGTCCCTAACTCACAGTTACAGTTTGATCCCATTTAACCAATTTCTCTTTCATTTCTGTAATGCAGAATCTGGCCGATTTTATTTAAAGAGAAATCTTACAAGTATACTGCGATCTCCCCATACCTGATACCAGCTGAAGATGGTGTAAATCTCAAAATTGTATACCGGTATACCTGGTGAAAATAATCTTATGTTGAGCATACAAATTTGTTGATCATGCCATCTTCGGCGGCTTGCAGCAAGTGTAGAAAGTAGAGATAAAATAGGAAATGACCAGAATCTTTTCTGTTTGACCCATCTAGCTCCAGCAGACCAAGGTGAGAAGGCATACGATGCATGTCTGCTTTCATTGACAAATCTTCAGACAGATTATCTTGACCTCTACCTCATACACTGGCCTGGAACCCAGAAATTGAAGCCAGATGATCCTAGAAATGTGGAGAACAGACAAGTAAGCTGGAAAGTACTGGAGAGATTACACAAGGAAGGTAATTGAGCAGTTTTATTATTGGGTTATGTTTAAATCTTTATTTTTGACCGATAATTTTGTTTTAAAAGTCAACGTTAACAAAACTTCTGTAATAAATACACACAAAAAATACCAGAGGATTGTTGGAATTGCAGAACTTATTTGTTTTAATTAGTAATTTATCCTTTATTTCATTGATATTCTGAAACAAAATCAAAAGACTCTGCCAGACTTGAAATAATATGTGCAGTCTTTTTGTTTTGTATGTACATTCGCTATGTTGTCAACAAGAGAACAAAATTATATTTTTAGATTGTAAAGTTTATGCTCTTTCCAGTTTGCAGGAATATGCAAAATGTAATGTTTTAAATGTGTTAATTACATATAGAATGTTTTGTTTTTATCGACAACAGGAAAGTGTAAGTATATTGGAATTTCAAACTACATAGTGAGACACATGGAAGAGCTCTTGACATATGCTGAAATTCAACCAGCTGTAAACCAGGTATGTGCTTGAGTTTCTTACACTTTCGTGACTTACGGTAAGAATGAATGCCCCACCATTATAGTTTTAAAAACAATAATTATGTATTGACACATATCACCACACTCAAGCTTACAGCAGATGTATTATGTTGTCAAATAGTTGATCCTTCTCGTTTTTTTAAAGTATCATTATCATAATGAGTTGAGGACCCTTTTTAGTGGCTCCAACGCCTTGTGCGCTGTCGGTAATTACTACAGACTATATTATTTCGTCAAAGCTAAAGGGTTAGGATTAGGGTTGCTATTGGGATTTAGGTTAGGTATGGGGTTACGGGAAGGTTGGGTATAGTATTTGGTCTAGGGTTAAACTTTAAAAAGTCGTTTAGTGGACTGGATCAATAGTAAAAAGATCATGTATCATACTTTTTTTAATGTTGTGATTGAGTTTTTTTATTAAGAAGTTCATGCTTAGGTGAAGTAGTCTAAGGTCGCCGGTCGAATAATTTAGCTATACTGTAATTGTAATAATTGGAGAACTGAGGAAACGAATAAAAACAACCTTGAAATAGTTTGTTCTTAGGTCTTGTAATATATTGATGTGTTCATAGGGATAAAAATTTAGATTAAGACTGCTGTAGTTGATCTTGTTGTTCATGATTTATTTGTCTTTTTTCAGAGTGAATATCATCCTCTCTTTTTAAATAAAGATGTTGTGGAATATTGTCGGAGAAAGGGTATACAGTTTCAATCATACTCGACACTAGCAAGAGGAGAAGTGAGTACCAGTAATCTAAATTGGTAGTATTATCCATCATCTGAAAGTAGGCCTACTAATTCATCTAAGGGAAGGGGACATTGCAATTTTGCTGAATTGTGCCATGCATGTAGTTAGCAGAAATAGGAATTTTCCCTGACATGAATTATAAGAAGGCAAATTTTCACCCTTCAATGATATGTTTACTTGAGACATTAAAGGGTTTATTAGTATAACGTGTGAACTCTACACTCAATATGCTGACAGATCTAAGAGTTATTCCTGCCAAGAACATGACATCTAGCGAATGGAGTTTTGTAGAAAATCCTGAACAATTTGGAGACTGTTTGTTTGACGATCATTTAGCAATTTCAGAAATGTTAGATGATCATTAGCTATTTAAGAAATATGAAATAATAATTTAGCAATTGAAAAATTATTGACCCTCAAAAATGTGTGTATCCTTAATGGGAGAGCCAGCAAACGCAGAGACAGAAAGAGAAGCGTAACTAAGTTTGCAACATATTGTTCCTGGAGTTCTTTCATATTAGGTATAGACTTGTCTGTGTTTATTAAGTTCATGTAAAGAATCTTGGTTCGCAACCCTATTGCAGCTGACCACTTTTAGAGATCTGTGCTTATTTTTGCCTGTTACAGACAAAAGGCAGGATATAAGACAACAGCATCAAGTCCCATACACAATTTCCTTGCTATTTCTCATTCAGAGCTTTGCAACAACATCATTTGCCACCCTCTACCCAGATGCAGTATTTGGTACCTTGTTAGAAAAAATCTGTGAATGCTGTGAGCACTGATATTGGGGTATAATTTAAAGTATGTATGTACCCTATACAAGAAGCCAACATTATTATTATTGAATGTTATTTCTCTTTCCAGCTGCTGACCAATCCTACAGTAATGTCCATTGCAGACGGAATAAAACATAAACCTTGCCAGGTCATCCTCAAATGGGCCATGCAGGATGGAATAGGTAAGACCATTTTCAATATTTAAATTCTACAGGGTGTATCAATAAATAAAGTAGTTCATCTTGGTGGATGTTGGAAGAAATTAACCAGATTAACACATCAATCCTTCTAAAGAGAGAAGGTCCATTTTCCAATGATCCCCTGCTTGCGTCTCTGTTTCATGGAAGATTTAGTTCCATTGTGTCATAGTTATTGCAAATCTCATTTGGTGTTTTGTTAGTTTATAACTTTGTACTGTATTTTAAAACTTTTAGAAGAAGACAAGCTCACAGAAAATGGATGGTTAGCAGTCCTACACTTATAACAAAACTCATCAAGAAATATTGCAGTGTACATTTAATAAAGGGATGATAAAGTGAAAGTGTTGAGCTTCAAATTTATTTGTAATGCTATATAAAAGTTCCCGTTTATTCAAATCTAGGATTACACAATCTGTAAATGTATTATCTTATAAAGAGTATCTGGGCACATTCATTTTCTAGTGGCACACTTTTATTGGCTTTCACAACAAAAACTACCTGTACATGTGGACTTTTGACAATTTCCTTTCATAAATCCATCATGGAAATTGCAACAACAGAAGTGTCATTGAAGAGATAAACTCCTTTTTGAAGTTGATTATTAAAGGCTTGTTTTCATGCTCTTCTGTTAAATATACGTAGCAAAATGAATACAGGCTATATATTCAGTGTCGTAATTTATGATGTCTTTTCAATGTTCCTCTTTCTTTTTGACAGGTGTGATACCCATGTCTACCAAGCCTGATCATATCATTGATAACTGTGATGTACATGATTGGTCTCTCACAGATGATGATATGAAAGTGTTACATAACCTCAAAGAAACAAAAAAATGTGCCTGGGATCCTACAGCGATCATTTGAATAAGAGAGAAATGTATAATTAGAAACCCCTTTGGGGGATATTGACAGAAGCATTTTTTTGTTGTGGGTAGTGGTATGTTGGGAAAAGTAGGAATACAATAATTCATTTATAAGCCCAACCAGCCATACCACAAATAGTTGTATAGACCAGTTCATGGTTAGCACATGTCCCAAATGACCCATAATATCCACAGATCTTCAAAACATGAAGAGGTCCCACTTTGTACATTTTGAAATAATCACTCCTACAGTGATGGAGGTGCTACATAAATAGCCTTTGTTTCCCCTTTTCAAAGAATACTTCCACCTGTTTATCATGGAGTGCACTGCTTAATTGTGCATAAATGAATAATGATTACATAACTTTCATGAGCACGTATCCAGTATTTTGTCTCCGTGTATTTCACAATTTGGTCTGCAATGACCTTTATCTGCTCATGCTTAGACTGTAACTCCCGGCCCCCCCACTCAGTGTTATTTAGGGTACGCATATGCTTGTTCCAACCGACCCCCCCTTTTCAGCAAAAGTCCGGTGTGTAAAGTCAATACGGCTCGACCTTTTTCTTTTGTATACGAGCCTTTTTCAGCACCCCCCCTTTTTAGCAAAAGTCCGGTGTGTAAAGTCAATACGGGTCGACCTTTTTCTTTTGTTACGAAAAGGACATTTTGGCAACACGCATGCGGTCATTTCGAAACCTGAGTGGGGGGGCCGGGCTGTAACTATGAACTGGTATTGTAGATTAACTGACTGTTCCCTATGCTGTGGTGTAATTCCACATCTTTTGATTCTTTGGATGCACAGCAGCTTTCACCTTACTTTTTCAGCTCAGAGTCCTCCCTGTAAGTGTCCTAGTACAGTTTCAAGTTGCAATTCTGTGTTTGTTGGCAATTTCCATTCCTGGTTATGTCCTCATATCTGTATCAATTTTCTAAAATCACAGGCACTTCAATAGCAATAATTGATGACAAATTTTCAAAATGTTTTGGTTGAACAACAGTTCTTTAGTCTGTTTAATGGTATAAATACCTGCAATCACCTTGTTCATCCTATTTCTTCAGGTGAATTTTTCTTTACTGTAACACATATTCTTTTTTCAATATTGACTTGATTCTAAAGTACCGGTATTAAAAAGAGTAAGGCTTTGAAACTAGATATATATTGTTATCCAATATCTTTATTGAGGTGTAAAAAATGACATGGTCCTAGATGATACTGAGCTAAGTAGGAAGCATAGGATTGTGAATGAAGCAATGTGGAAAGAAAAGAATGTACCAAGGTGTAGCGATAATGAGAAAATAAAAATGAAACTAAGAGAATAGATTTAGAGATAGAGAGGAGAAGGGAAAGAGAAAGAAAAAAAAACAGAGAAAATGAGATGAGAAGAAGAGAAAAATCAGGAGATAGAAAATAGGCATGAGAGAGAAAGAGTAGAAAAGCTCAGACAGAATAAATAAACGATGAGAAAAGATAAAATGTAGAGATGATGTATAAGAAGAATATAATGGCAGATGATGACATGAAGAGGAAATTGATATGATAGATGATGGGAGGAAAAGAGGGGAGCAGTGCATGTATGAAGCGAAGAATGATGAGAGGATAAACACTAGGAGGCGGAGAAAAGAGATGTGGAATATTGTTTTTTCTTCTTTTCTTTCATTAAGCATTAAGAATATAATGATGAGAAGAAGGAAGGAAATGTCAAGAGAGGGATGTTAATGATGGAATATAATCACAAGAGGTGACACATGGTCATTAGACCCCCAAAATAGTCTATTTCGTTTGAGGATACGATGAGAGGAGAAATTATACGATGGAATAATACAAGTTTCCCAATATATATGTCGATCAGAACTCATGAACAACAACAATAAATGCAATAATCATACCAATGCACTTTTAGATATTTAAAACCAAATTAAGTATGTCTGTAATTTTAATCATATTTAGAAAAACTGACAACGATTATTGTAGTAGTAGTAGTAGTAGTAGTAGCAGTACTAGTATTTTTATTGTGATTGTTATTAACATTATCTATAATTATTATTATTACTATCTTTTATTAATATATTATCATTACTATCATAATTATTATTATCATTAACATCATCATCATTATTACTTTGAAATCAGGGCCCATCTTATTGATCGAATCAATCGCAAGTCTTCTAATCAATCGTAAGTTTGCAGTCCCCTGGCCGCGGGCCCTATCTTTATAGTTACGATTGATATCAACCGCAATAATCGCAACTTTTTACAACGCAAAATAATGAAGTACCAGTATCCAGTAGCGTGCAAGGAAAGAGACACACCTCCCTCACACCTCCTCCAACAAACAAGACAGGAATGCGTGCGCATGCCATTATGCCATTATGCCATTATGCAATCATGCCCCACATGCACAGCCATTGGATTTCGATGGCCACTGCCCACGTCCACAATCAAGCCTCAAGGATGTGTATTGACAAGATAAGTTACATGGCTCCGCAACTGAATATAGGAAGTAGCAGTATCATCAATTGTCTACCGGGCATACTATTTCCTGACACATTTCCCAAACATTATCTTTATAAGGTGCAAAATAACGTTGCAGACACATAATATATCCTATCCATAGCTGTAGACTTACAGATAATCAGATATGGTGCCCATTTAAAGTTAGAATAAATTATTTCTAGTACATATTGTATAATAGACCTAGTCTATACGCATACCTATATTTTCATGAAATGATTGTGACAAACTCACATATCCCTGATAAAGTTAATCTTCTCAGATACAATAATAACAATAATGATGGCAATGATAATAATAATAACAATGATAATTATAATACTTATGATGACGATGATGATGATGATGTTGATGATGTTGATGATGAATGATGATGATAATGTATGCCTTATCCACATGCACACAATCACTCTACAGATTATTCGTGAGTGTGATATCTTGTTAAGTATTGTCTTATAAATGGTACGGTACCTGCAGATCGCATATCGACGTACGTCAGAGTTCAGTGTACGATCGACCCCATCCAGGTGAAGTTACACGTTAAATCATCAACGAGTAAAACTGCGAAAATGGCGTCTTCTTTGTTGCGTTTCGGTAGATCTACTTCCTCTCTTCTCACCAGGGTAATTATTTGTATATAATTTTATTTCATATTTTAAGCAATTTAAGCATGAGAAGAAAAGAAAACATGAGTTTGAATGTAACGATTCTAGTGTCGAATCATAATCAAATGTTGGTGCTAACTGCCATGTCCATGTGTGTGCAGGGTGTGTGGTGCCTGGGGTCGTGGGCGGTGGCATCCTCGGTCGTACATTTGATCATGTTGGATGGGTGGTGTTTTCTGAAAATGCTGAAATCCCATCTAACTTTGCTCTTAAGTCAACGGCTTGTTAATTGAGTGCTAATAATATCATCAGTCTAGACCTCCGTTTTGCAGGTTGAAGTACATACGCTGGTACTGTAGTGGTAGATCGTAGGGCGCTAGTGTAGACCTAGTTCCGTATCCATTTTTTTAGCAGTTTGATATCCATTCTTAGCAAATGAATTTTAGCACAATTTTTTACTAATTTTAATAATAATCATATATTGCATTTTCCACCTGAATTTGGATCACATCCGACATCGGGAAACCTTCGTTTAAGGTTTCGATGTCGACGTCGTCGCTCAGTACCGGCTCTACGCTGTAGTCCTGCAACTCAAACTGAAGCTATCAGTCCAAAATTATGCAGACTTCTCGTACGCGCGATACCATAAACCATATGAGAAGTCTGCATAATTTAATGATTATGATTAAAATAAGTTAAAAATTGGGCTAAAATTCCTTTGCTAAGAATGGATTTTTAAACTGCTTAAAAAAAAATGGATACGGAACTACACTAGCGCCGATTGTAGAGCAGCTTACACTGCACTGACAGGCGCGATGCGCCAGAAGCAGTTTGCATGGATTGGGGGGGGGGGGGGAGGCAAACATTCCAAGGGGCTCGCCTTTCAGGGGCAATGGCGTAATGAGCACCACTACTCTTACATGTTACATGCAGGCCCCGCCGATCGTTTTTTCAAAGTGGATTCCTGGAAAATCATAACATTTCAGCAACATTTATAAATCACTCATATTGAAACATGTTTGAATTTTATTTGGAGGCGAATCCCCCCCCCCCCCCCCTCAGCCATTAACCATGAAGGGGTGTATTGGATGCTACATAGATAGATTTACAAGTTAGTCTGACTCTTTCAGTAATCAAGCCTCATTTAATAATTTGTTGACTTGACTATAGGTCTAGACACATGAACCAAGAGTAAACTGAAAAGCAAGTCAAAGTAAATCATTTTTATCTCAAGACACACCTTTACTCGAGAGTTTCATGAAACTTGCATTGTAAAAGGGAAATTTAGTAAATTACTTATCTTTGATAGGTATTAAAAATACAAAAGTACAAATGGTATAAAAGCTTTTAACATAACTTACAACAATTTAGAGAAGAAAATATTCATTGGACGTCTCACCCAGATCTCATCCCTACCCTGTATGTATCATGAAAGCTATAACTTTAATAAAATAGCTAGTAATAAAACTGAGAATTGTCAGAATTTTCAGAGATAAGTCTAATTACTATATTTGCAATCATCAAATATAAATTATATACAAACTTTGGCATTTAAGGATGTTCTCCAGTAATGTTCTTGTGCACCTTATCTGGGTAGGATAGGATATATCTATGCACAGTCTGGTAAGATGCACACGAACATTACTGCGGAACGTCCTTAAAAGTAATTATCTATTTTCTTGTCCCTTGTGCCCTTTGATGAATCCTTATTAAAAGCCAAATTGTAATTTGTTTTGATTTATAGGGCCTGCTTGGTAGTAGAGCTGGATCATGTAACTACTCAAGTGCAGTAAGTTTACTTTAACGTTGTTAAAATTGTTATTATACATTTATTAGACATTTTTCTTTATAAATTGTATAATTACACCCGATAAATCAGTTGATTGTTAATTCACTCGAAACAGAGTAATTTGTTTGCACTTCAAACTTTTATTTCTCTTTACACCTCAGACCTGTAATGTGAATTATTTTGTTATGTATTTTATACAATATGTGCATAGTTTTGCAGTGTGTGATGTAAGATTTACACAGAAGTCTGGGAGGTGCTATTACACTAGAGTTTTAAGACAAAATATAGCCAACTATTAAACCATTTTACTACTTGCAATTTTGTGATGTACCAAATAATATATTGTTAAAAGCTTGACTGCTTAACATAAAACCAGTATTCGCTTTCTCTATGGGCAAGAAGGATATTTGTCTTCATCACTTTCTGCATTATTTAGAGGACATTTTTCGATCGTTCAGATTCAGATTGCTGTGTCTTATCTGTATATAAAACTTCTATATCTATAAGCAGTTGAATAACATTTAACGATATTGATAGTGATATGCAATTTATTTCAGCATTTTAGTGAACCATGACATATTATCCTTTCATTTGATTACATTTGACAATCTTAGCCAACTACCAAACTGCTTATCGATGGAAAGATGGTAGAGTCCCAGACGACAGAGTGGATTGATGTCCATAATCCTGTAAGTTATGCATTGGATCTTTGGTAATAGTTATATTTTTATGAAATATTTTATAACTAGTTGATAAGATTAAAATAAATCAATGAAAACCATTGGCATTTTTTAACTTTTGGAAATGTATGTTAAACACAAATACTATCTTCTTTATTACATTAATAATGTTTGGAAATTGAATCTATGCAAAAGATCCACGGTTATTTTTCTTGGACAAAAGCTCCTTGTACCGTGTATAATTTTATTGAGCAAACTTTGAAAATGAGTATCCCTTTAAAAATCCTGAAAACAAAGTGAAACACATCTTGAAGAGGTTAGCCTCTGTATATATTTTGGCAATCTTTGTTCTGGATTGAAATCAATAGGGCCCGTGTATGCATGTTCTGTGTTAGTGTTGAGCCCACTTTGTATGCCCACTTGTTACACAAATATGAACGCCTTGTCCATGATCAAATCCTTATGTAGCTCACGATATTGTGAAACCTACTGTGACAAAATATTTTTCATTGTGGCTGATCCCACAAGGCAACCAATGAAGTAGTGACGAGGGTTCCCAAAGCTACTGCCAGCGAGATGGAGGCAGCCGTCAATGCCGCACAGGCCGCCTTTCCAGCTTGGTCTAAGACCAGCGTCCTCACCAGACAACAGATCATGTTCAAATACCAAGCACTTATCAAGGAAAATATGGTAAGTAGATGCAAACATACCAAGCACTTATCAAGGAAAATATGGTAAGTAGATGCAAACATACCAAGCACTTATCAAGGAAAATATGGTAAGTAGATGCAAACATACCAAGCACTTATCAAGGAAAATATGGTAAGTAGATGCAAACATACCAAGCACTTATCAAGGAAAATATGGTAAGTAGATGCAAACATACCAAGCACTTATCAAGGAAAATATGGTAAGTAGATGCGAACATGTAAAGAAGATAAGTTATAGAGTATGAAGAAAGGGTATTTAAGCAAGGAGATTCTTCTACCAATCTTTTTGTAATATCTGACTTTGAGGTAATTTTGTAGGATGCTGTTGAGTAAGTCCTTGTGAATTAAAATAATTTAAAGGAAAAAAGAAAGACCTTTTAAAGTATTATCACTTGATATATATTTTATACAAAATTTGCCTTCAAATCATAGCCTATTTAAATTCAATTCAATTTGAGAAATCTGAATTATGGGTGCCAACTATGATACACTCTAATACCAGAATAACATATTTAGCATACCGTACATGCAGACTAAAGGGGTGTATTCATTTAATGTATGTGTTAATTCAATGTGACTTGATCTAATGCTGCCAGTGCTATGTGGCAAGTAATCCATTTATAGCAGTTAGCAAACAATCTAGCCAATAAAGCAATCTACTGGGGTAGTGCCACTGAATGGTCTCACTGGGTTTCTTATTAACTGATTTAGTATGCTATGCTTTACTGTTTAACAGCAAAGACTTGCTGAATCCATCACATTGGAACAAGGCAAGACACTGGTAGATGCTGAGGGTGATGTACTGAGAGGACTCCGTAAGTTAATCCCAGGCTTATCAGAATAAAAATTGAATACCTCTAAAACTCCGGAAACAATTAAAAAGATAACAAAGACATTCTAATAAAAAAAATTAAAAAAAATTGTAGTACCAATTATAACAAATATTCCTGTCATAAAAAAAATATAATAATTTTTATATACATGTAAATAATATAATTAATAATTCCAAAAGGAAATTTCTTCTTAGAGATGACTAGTGCAGTTAGTGCCAGTAACTGGAAGAATGTGTAGGAAGCAACCTTAAGAAGTATTCTTTTAAAGTTTTTGAATAAACCAAATTTTGTAATAAAAGTCTTAGTTTTGATTTTGGGTTACTGACATGTATGAAGGGAGCATAAAACTATAAAAATGGGTGTATATGAAGAACTAAATAGGTATACATGTTTCTCATCAAGCTGGTTTGTGCAAAGTAAATTATCATAGCTTAAAATAAATGACTTCTTTCACTCTATGATTCTTCCATCTGTATTATCCTTACTTCAGAGGTTGTGGAGCACGTATGCAGCATTACATCATTACAGCTTGGAGAGACTCTACCTTCTATTACCAAAGACATGGATACTTACACGATGCGTGTACCATTGGGAGTCTGCGCTGGAATCACACCGTAAGATGGCTTTCATTCTTAGGATATTTTGTGATGATGCAGGGTTGCACACCAACTTAATTTTCACCAGGGATCCTAAATGAAATCATGCATGCATGGCCCCCTGTTTAATTTGTCAAATTTTGTAGTGCAGAATTCTTATCCAGAGACCCATGTTCACCTTACTATGTCAGTTTCAGGCCCTGAATGATGAGAGAGATTAGGATGTGTGCTTAGAATGGTACAGTTTGAAATGCAGTCTTAAAAATAATGACAGAATTGTTAATTCATTCAATATAAAATCATCATAGTTTTAGCACTGTCGATATTAAACACTGTTCTTTTTTTTCTTCTTCTCCTTTGCCACAGATTCAACTTCCCAGCAATGATTCCACTATGGGTAAGTACAGCCTACATATATTTAACCTTCAAAGTAACAATGTGATTGGTATTTGTTCTAAGGATTAATCCTGATCCCTACTACAACCAGCTTTCTTATCTTCTTAGACCATTATCTGGATTCCCCTCATTGTCTCGCTTCCAAGTACAGATTTGTTTTCTTCTATTCAGTTTAAGGAAGAAATAGTTCTAGGTTTGCCATTAAGGAATGCACTTCATATGTTTGTTTGTGTAGTTTAGTTTTGTTCATTCAATCATTCTGAAATGTTTTTTGAAGCATGGCATATACTCTGAAACATACCTGGGCTCCTAGACTTGGCTAGTAAAGAATGAAACCCAGATGTAATGTAAGAATTTTTTCCTCACAGGTGGTCTTTATTTTCAATAGAAATATGATGAGTTGGATTATTGATATATTTGCAGGTCAATTTCAAATCTTGGAATAAATACATGTAGTTATTGATTTTGAAGTTTTTCCATATATCTGAGTTTTTTCGATCATGAAGTCCCGATCAATGGTAAATGCACCCAGTCACAAATTTCTATATGGGTCTTTAGTTATAGACTGATCAATTTCCCCTTATGTTTAAAAGCTGTGTAACTTGAGGCCAGGTTCATACCCTGCCTAAACGCAAAGAATTACTTTACTGATTTATGGACTTCTTCATGTTATACAAATCATAATTCTGTAATTAAATGAAAATAATTAGTTCACACATAGCCTTCCATAAATCAGTGGACTAAGTTGATTTAGGCCACCTTCAAGAACATGGACCCTAATAGAAAGGTTGACACTTAGCCTTCCATTAATTAGCGCAATAAGTTAAAACCGGTTAACAGATACCACCTTCAAGAATGTGGGCCATAATCTGTGATGTCTTTTAATTGGATATTTGCAGATGTTCCCTGTAGCTGCCGTTGCTGGTAACACAGTGATTATGAAGCCATCAGAGAGGGACCCCGGAGCATGTATGATCCTGGCTGAACTAGCTCAGGAAGCTGGGCTACCGGATGGTGTCATTAATATCATTCATGGTCAACATGATTGTGAGTACCCAGTAGTCAAGAAGTGGTGATAGTGGTAGTAGTGGTGGTGGTGGTGTTGATAGTAGTGTTATGGTGATGGTAGTAATGATGGTGATGTTGATGATGGTGGTGGTGGTGATAGTGAAGTTCTGTAATACTGTGTATAACTTTAAAAGGTCCCATGTGCAGAATTTGATTTTCATTAACCTTTATGATTTTGGTGTAACACACATTTTCCGTAGACCTGAGGTATCCCAGGCTTAGTACAGAGGAGAGGGGGTAAAGCCAGGAACTATTTTGGCTTGAGGAATATCTTTATCCCCCTCCCCACCAGTCAGTATGATTAACCAGTTTAAAGACAACACTACTAATAACTAGGGAGTAAAATCAATGTTGAGCATTGTCAAATAAATTGATGTAGTTGATTATCTCTATATAATGTGTTGTATGCTACCTAAATATTCCTTTAAACTGTTATTCTTCTTTACCACGTTCAATCAATTATTTTCCTCCTTACAGCTGTGAACTTCATCTGTGACCATCCCTACATCAGGGCTGTGTCGTTCGTTGGGTCAGATCAAGCCGGCAACTACATCCATGAGAGGGCTAGCCGTAATGGCAAGCGTGTACAGTGCAACATGGGAGCTAAGAACCACGGTGTTATCATGCCTGATGCAAACAAAGAGAATACACTCAACCAGGTACTGCTAACTTTTACTATGTTATTTATTATTTGGGTGTTTTCAGATTTAGACTAGATTTGTAGGACTCTTGAATTTACACTGGATGACAAATTTACCTTGTGCTGAATTTGTATCCACAGTGTATTTAACATCCAAAAAGATACTCCAGTATTTATTTCTTATCTTTACTGAATGACAGGTTATTGCTCACACCTTTAACTTCAAATAAAGAGGTTGAGGGTTCATATCTCTGCCTGATGGATATGTCGTAGACAAGGCATCTCATCTATAGTTTGTTGTTTCCCTCTCTCTCCACGTGTAGTAAGCAGGTTCCTGGTAGGATTTTTTACCACAAGTGCACTTTATGCTGAAAACAGCTGCCAGAGCTAAAAGCCAAAACCTTTTAACCCTTACTGTACTTGGGGGGGGGCCTGGAAGGCCCCCCCCCCCCCGACATTTTCGGAGATTGCGCCGCAACCGCTCGGAATTTTGAATTGTCGTTTCATGACTTTTTTCCCTCAAGTCTTACGCACATTTTGATACCATTTTCGTCGAAATCGGATATACCTGTAAGGTGTTACATAACAATTAGTATGCGCATGTCATCAAAAAAGTGCTATAATTGCGTATATTCATGTACAAGCAGAAATGTGAAGATATGAATTGATATCAAATTGCTTTTATATGTTTCTCAAAGTAACTTGATGTATTTCAGAACAAAAGAATACGTTAGAAATAAAACAATAGATATAATAAGAAATAAAAAACAATAAAATACATTAGAAAATAAATAGTTGAAAATCGCATCAAATTTGCATAAATTATCATTATTAATTACTTCAAATAACTATTTTGTGTTAGAAAAGAAGTTTCATATGAATAATGAGTTTCAACATTCAAAAAGTGGAGTCTGACAAATTTTGTAATGATTCTAGTTCCCTATCATATTTCCAGATTTGATATTCATGAATGCGTATTCATAATTTATGCAAATTAACCTATACGTTTTCAAATATCATTAAAAAAATGAAACCTCATGAATTTGAGATGAAGGAAACATTTATTCAATACATTTTCAAGATTCTTCACAAGTCTACGGACAAATATGTAGAGTTTTCTGTAAAATGCATAAAATTAGCATTTCGCATAATTAATTAGGCTATAACGACAAAAAATTGCATATCAGGAAAAAACTAATTATACCATCTTGTTCCTTATGTAAATATCTACAAACATGCAAATTTTTGCGTTCATCGGACATTCAACGGCCGAGATCATAGGGGGGGGCCTCCCAGGCCCCCCCCCCCCCCCCCCCCGGTCAGAGAGTGCTCGAAATAGCGCAGTACAGTAAGGGTTAAAGTACCTAGAGATGTAATGCTCCATTATTATACAAATGAAATCTTTACAATATTTTTTAGTCCTAAAATTACTTTCAGTCTTATGAAATATAAATATATGCAAAAGTACTTGTACAATTATTTAGGTGAGGACTACGTTACAGACGTAACTTCGTCGTGCCAGCCTACTGTATCTATAACATCATTTCTAATTGTAACAATTTTTTGTGTTTTTATGAATAGCTTTGTGGAGCAGCCTTTGGTGCCGCCGGTCAGAGGTGTATGGCTTTGTCTACTGCAGTATTTGTAGGAGAAGCCAAGGAATGGCTACCTGACCTGGTGGAAAGGGCCAAGGCCCTCAAGGTCAATGCTGGTGAGTAACATGCATCATAGAAGGCATTCTTGAAGTTCAAACTTAAGTCCAAGATCAATCTTGGCCCTTTTTTAAGAATGTAATATGTTACCTACTTTCCTACCCACATATAAGTGCATGAAAATATTGTAATTTTTGAATCATAAATGTACTATATAATCCAGTTTTTGATCCATTTGGCAATAGAGCTTATTGGAAACTCAGCTGTTTCCATTTTCTTTGTTTCTTGCTCAGTTTTATTGACATTCAATGAGAGAGTTTAAAAGTTTGAATCCCTTCCCAGTGCATAATTTTTTAGACAAGGCATTTATCTGAAGTTGTCTCTTTCTCCCCCCCCCCCCCCCAATTCTCTCTCCCTCTCTCTCTCTCAACAAAGGTTGTGTTGAAAGTTACTTTGGAACAGCGGTAAGAGCTCTGTTCTCAGACAGTGTTCTCATATCCAAAGCACATACTGTAGAGATATAATTTCACAATGAGTATGGGACTATAATAATTTCTTCTTTTTTTGAAATCCCTTTTTATTTGTGTTTTAGGTGACCAGCCTGGTACAGATCTTGGTCCATTGATCTCACCTCAAGCTAAAGATAGAGTATGTGAGTTAATCCAGTCTGGAGCCGATGAGGGCGCTAACCTTGTCCTGGATGGCAGGGGCATTGTCGTTGACGGCTATGAGAAGGGTAACTTTGTCGGACCAACCATCATTACAGATGTTGAGGTAAGAAACAGGGAGAAAAAGCTTCTTTAGTTATGATCTTTTTAAAGATACTTTTTTTTTGAATGATTTTTAATTAAAAAAGGGGGGGGGGGGGAGAAGAGTCAGTTTTCACTCTCATAGACAACAAGATGACCCTGAAAACAGATGCAGAGAGACTCAGTGTTGAAAAGAGTTATTTGTGTGTATGGGTGATGTGTTATTTGTTCTGAATACATACAACAAAATAAATAAATAAGTAATAATAACAAAGGTAAAATTTCATATATTAAGTTATGCTATCTTTTGCCCCCCCCCCCCCCAAATCAAACATATGTATCGCATTATTATGTGATGTTGCGTTTTATATTATTTATGGTGGGTGCTAAGTATTGAAGAAAGAAGTTAACTTGATGGGTATTATCACATTTCATAAGCTTCGTGGCTGTTAAGAACATCAGTAAAATTAAAATCCCACATGCCTCCCTTTTAATATGAGGTATTAGTTACACTATGTTCCGTACTTTGGGGTTCACCAGAAGCACTTGTTTTGACAGTTACAAGGGCTTCCTGAAAATACTAGTATCAAGGGTCAAGTTTTAGATTGGGATCTTTGTAAATAGGTTTAGATCCTGATCTACTACACACACTGTATTGAAAGACATCTTGTTATAATGTTTGTTCATGTCAAAGTGAGAGCAAGATTCAAATTTCAATTATGATTGGAATTATGGTTCTTTTTAATTGAGTGCAGATCATGAAGCCCATATAAAATTTCAGTTCTCCTGTTATTGCGAGGGGTTCTATGCCAGAGTAGAAGCAAGATTGAAAAGTCAACATTTATTTGAAATACTACTCCAGCGCATGAGTGTAGATTATAGTCGATCATCAGTAGGAATATATATTTTGATGTTCTCCCAACTTTGTTTGCTGTACGCATTATATATTGTTGTGACAAATGTTTTGTTTCAGAATGCCCAATATCTGTTACAACATCAATGCGATAGCACTTGTTTTAACTGGATCTTTTTATAGCACATCATTATGGTAGAATATTCATGTTTCTCTTATTTGTGTGTTAGACAAACATGACTTGCTACAAGGAAGAGATCTTTGGGCCTGTCCTGGTAGTGGTCAATGTAGATACCCTGGATGAAGCCATTGAACTAGTCAACAGCAACCCATATGGTAACGGAACTGCTATCTTCACCACAAACGGAGCAACAGCCAGGACATACACAGAGCTGATTGATGTTGGCCAGGTGAGATTTTAGGGCAGGAATCATTCAAGGGCTATATTGATCATCTTTTCTTTTTCAAATTGGCAGCACTGATATTTTTATTTTGTATTGCTACAATTTGTCTATAATTTCATATATCTGAAAAGATTGGACTGGTGTCATTCCCAGTTTAATCAACTCAAAGTTAGTATTGTGACATGAGACATTCAAGTAAATTGTAAATTGCTTTTGACATTTTTACAGTGTGAGATTTTAGGGTAGTTGACAAAAGGCATGGCAAGGTGCATGTGAGTGAGGATTCTGTACCTCATGTTGCAAACCACTGTTTCCTCTGAGGTCAGTGGAGTAGCATGGGTCTAGCCGTTGAAAGAGCACTGGCGTTATTGGGGTCTACAAGGCCACTGATTAGCGGGGCGGGTTCCTACAATCTTCTTCTCTCTCTCTCTCTCTCTCTCTCTCTCTCTCTCTCTCTCTCTCATTTGATGAGAATGTGCCCCCTGTATCTATGCAGCTGTCACAGCTTTTAAAATCTTTAAAGAAACTACAATGATTTTCCGCTCCAGAAAACTAAGGGTACTATTTAATGAGGAGAAAATTATCTATTATTTGAGGCCAAGTGTCACCCTTACAATGAAATACTGAGCAATCATGTTTATCTTCTTGATGTGCATAACTTTCAAATAATTTCCACACTATGTAATGATTTGTGAGGGACTACAGAAAAACAATCTGAATTTTGTCTTACCCAACCAAGGTAGAGGTGAGACTAAGGGATTCAAATGGTGTCCGTACGTCCATCACAAATGATAGTTGACCTATTTGGATAAACCACTTAATTACACCTGATAAATGGATGTTTAGTACTTCTGAATCTTGCATTACAAAGATATCTATCTTGTGTCCTTGTTTCTTAGGTTGGTGTGAATGTACCAATCCCTGTGCCACTGCCCATGTTCTCCTTCACCGGATCCAGGGGCTCCTTCAAGGGAGACACCAACTTCTACGGCAAGCAGGGTCTCCAGTTCTACACCCAGGTCAAGACCGTGACCCAGTTATGGAGGGCCGAAGATGTGACCCACTCCAGGGCAGCCGTTGCCATGCCAGTCCTCAAGTAAACAAACCTCGGGTATTCACCAAACAACATGAAGATTCCTTTATGTTTCATTTCCTGAAATGTATCTAGATGCCAGGTCCTTGATTTACAAGCGAACCAAACGAGGAATGGTGAATGTAAGAAGGGAATATTAATAGTACTCTCTTTCAACACAATCTTATGTGCTGCCTATTTTTTTTTGTATAACTGAAGGCATTTTTGGGTCATACATTTGAGCAAATAATTTGTGTCAATCACTGATTTGCAGTTAAATTTGTTTTTTTTCTGGCTTTTTCTAAACCACATGGGGTGGTGTTATGTTACTTTTGTGGTGTTTGTGTAATGATATGAGAATTTAGAAATATATTTTATTTTCCCCAAAGTGGCTGGTTTAGGCTGTCAGCTGTATTTAAAAAATTGTAAACGGACTCTAAAGCCATGATAATGAATTTATGAGATTATCAAACCCTTATTAATGCCTTCTGATGAACACATTGCATCAGCTGCAACCATTTGTTTGGAAACGGTATTTCATCATGATGTCAAATATAATCATGATAAATGCCAAATTGTAGAAATACATGTAGTGTGTTATTAAGAGATTTTCCATGCTAATTATGAATTTAAAGACAGCTTATGTGAAGCTTTAAAACACTATTTAAAGACTGCTTTATTTTATTTTAATATATATAGTTAGCATTTATTGCCTTCATATCTGTAAGATGCGATTATTCTGTATAAAAGTCACTTGGCAGGGTCTTTGTGGACAAATTATCCAAGTTTGTTGATTCATGGTTATCAATTTCTTGGCCATTTAAGTCATTGAAATAATCAAAAGTATAATTAATGACAGTCAATATGAATTGTACAGGAATCTGGCACAAAGTACATCATCCATTGTCTACTGTACTGTTATCTCATCTATTGCACAGAACTCATCATTTCATCATGATTATCATTACTCGGTATATTCATATCCATTGTAATTGCTGTAAGATGTACAAATTGATAGATGTAAAGAGGTTTGAGGAAATAAACCACAATTTCATATGCACAAGGAAAGAAATTACTTTCAGAAAAGAGGTTTGAGAGAAGAAAAAAATTGTCTTAATGCTGCATAATGGAAAGAGATTGTTTTTGTATCGTACTGCTTTGATTATTCATTAGAATTAAAAGTTATTGACATAATTTCCTTATGACAGCAGGAAATCTAAGTGATTTGTTTTGTATCCATGCTGTCTGTTATTCTATCCCTTAAGAGGTGTGGATCAGAGCTGTTATTCCTGACTTTCTGCTTACATGATTATTCTCTCAAGGAGGGAGGATTGTAGGGGAATTCCCACGATTCCCTTGTGAGGTAATTTAGTTAGAAAGTGTGGTACAAACAACCTTTCAAGATTGAAGAGCATCTCCTGAAAATTTGAAAACACATCAACTATAAGAATTTCTAATTGCATAGATTTCTAAACATTTTATTTAAAATCCCTAGTGGACAAATCTCGAATATAGTTGGAAAAAGCAGATAAGACTTGTTATTGGATGTGCTATTGATCTGAACTGTTTTAGGGGTTGTTGACTCTTCCATATCTATGTCTGTGTATTGGATAGGAGTGAATGGGGTGAGATATCAAATGAATAATTACATCTGCATGGCTTAGAGTACACAAATCAAATCAAAAATTTCATACCATGCTGTTATATTTGAGTTGTGATGAATATATAGTACATGCTATTTCCCTTTTTTGTATAAAAAATGCCATGTATTCTCTTTCCACTGATTCAATTTTTGTTTGGATGGACACTTATTAAAGATATATATCTATTTTGATATTGCAGATGATATTGCAATAAATTTATCATGATCATGACTCAGTATTTCCTTGAATGTTGTTTATAGCATTTGTTTAGAATCTTTTTCTGTTTTAACTAATAATCTGGCACAGAGCCATCTGACCGGTGAACAACATTTTCTTTTCACTTTTACTGACTCATCTTTGCCAAGTAAAGTCTGTTGTTTATGTTTCATATTTTGTTTAAAGCATATGTTTAATTTCTTTGGAAAAGTAATGGGATACAAAAGCATTTGAAGTGAACGGTATTGTTGCTTCTATCAATTCTATGAAGTGTTTACAGTTTGGCGTCACCTGTGCCTGGAAAGAGAAAGCTAATCTAATCACTGTAACCCTCCAGGCTTTCTTCCTGCTGTAATTGACTGGGATACTCATTTTTCATCATTTGTAATAGTACTGAATTCCTTAAAGGTGAAGTCCAACCTGATATTATCTTGGTTTTAATAAAAGCGTAAAAATTAGGGAAACAAATACCGGTAGTGAAAGTTTGAGCAATATCCAATTGAAAATAGAAACATTTTAATTTTTGAAGTTGTCATCAGTGAAACACAAATTTGCAACACTGACGTATCTTGCGAGCTCCTCCCCAATTTGTTCTGTATAGAAAATTTCATAAATGTTTATTTTCTCTGTTATTGATGAAGGAATAGATTTGTTTCAGACAGGATTTGCATAAAAACATATTTTTAATAATAATATTGATGGTGAAATAATGTATGATGGAAAAAATGTAATTTTTGGAGTTTTTTAGTACAGGGCAAATGAAAGGGGAGCTCCCGAGATACGTCACAGAGTCATAAATTTGTATTTGATTGATCCCACCTTCAGAAATTTATTCAAACTTTCACTGAATCGTTGCTCTCATTTTTCAAATGCGTCTGTATTTTAAATGCATTGTACACAACGAAAACTCAGTTCAGAAACGGTAAAATTGTGTGATATTAACTTTGCATAATATGTATGGCTATATAGAAGGTGTTAAACTAAAGCCTCGGTCACACATGCCATTACGAACTGCTACGAACGCCTAACGAACGATTTTCAGACAATGGAAAAACAGATTTGTACGAAATTATCGTTGTGACCGTAGCATAAATCCCTTCAAATATGCTAATGTTAATGTCTAAATCATTCTCCTAAATCTTTGTCTGTAAAGGACCTTACAAGATGAAGTCAAGAGTAGTTTTGATACCATGTACAGGGAAACCTGTCTAACATCTCCATTTTGTAGACCCTTAAAGGGATAGTTGAGTTCTTGTTTCAGACCGCAAATGCCTTCTAGTACTCTTTTAGGACCTTAAATTTTAGACCCCAAGATGTGTGAAATTCAGCCAATACGATCATCATACCAATTCAGCTCCACTTTCAAAAAAATATGGTGACTGTTGATTAATTAATGAATTGATAATAACAATACAAGGGCAGCTGGTTGTGCGTATTATAACCAACACTAAAAAGCCAACATCGGCATTGGCTGAAATAAAACGTATAAGGCGCTATCTTGTTTTTTCAACGGCTTGTTCAAATTATTGAATATTTGTGGGGCACCGCAAATATTAGAAATTGTTATGTTTGTGGATATTTCAGCCGTCTCTGAACAGATTTTGATCAAACAGATGATTTTAGTCATTTATATTGAATGTTCTTTCAAATTTGACAATCAGTTTTTTTTATTACCACACAAAAAAATTGTTCTGTGTAGCGCCCTCTGCAACAAAACTCATCTATCCCTTTTATATCTTACATGGTATTTTACACCCTATTCAAGAATTATTCTGCTTTTATCTTTCTTTTTATTTTTTTATTTTTTTCAAAATATTTTTTCCCCTTCCACAGGGTTCTTTATTTTCAAAAACAAGTTCCATCATATACAGTATATCCATATATCATATACAAATAATTCAAGAAATAAATTCCATACATAATGGCTTTACACAGATAATAATCATCACTGCTGAAAACTTTTGTGGCAGATAAAAACAAACATTTATGACAAAATTATTACTTTAAATATATAATTTAAAAGAAAACTAGATGGAATTTTGACTGCGCGCAGTCGAAAATGATGCCTCCGCCATAGAGCAATTTAAACAAGTTTGGAGTTTAAATCTCCAGTGGTTCTTGAGATATCATGATAACAATCTCAATGTATGGAATTTCATAAGTTGACCTCTGTGACCCTTGACCTTTGACCTACGTGCTCCACAATCTAATCAGATTGTCTTCCTATGGTGATACACACTATCACTAAGTTTGAAGTTTAAATCTCCAGTGGTTCTTGAGATATTATGATATGGTGATACATACTATCATTAAGTTTGAAGTGAAAATTCTCCAGTGGTTCTTGAGATATCGCGATAACGATCTCAATGTATGGAATTTCATAAGTTGACGTCTGTGACCCTTGACCTTTGATCTACGTGCTCCAAAATCTAATCAGATTGTTTTCCTATAGTGATACACACTATCACTAAGTTTGAAGTTTAAATCTCCAGTGGTTCTTGAGATATCATGATAACAATCTCAATGTATGGAATTTCATAAGTTGACCTCTATGACCCTTGACCTTTGACCTACGTGCTCCAAAATGTAATCAGATTGTTTTCCTATAGTGATACACACTATTACTAAGTTTGAAGTTTAAATCTCCAGTGGTTCTTGAGATATCATGATAACAATCTCAATGTATGGAATTTCATAAGTTGACCTCTGTGACCCTTGACCTTTGACATACGTGCTCCAAAATGTAATCAGATTGTTTTCCTATAGTGATACACACTATCACTAAGTTTGAAGTTTAAATCTCCAGTGGTTCTTGAGATATCATGATAACAATCTCAATGTATGGAATTTCATAAGTTGACCTCTGTGACCCTTGACCTTTGACCTACGTGCTCCACAATCTAATCAGATTGTCTTCCTATGGTGATACACACTATCACTAAGTTTGAAGTTTAAATCTCCAGTGGTTCTTGAGATATTATGATATGGTGATACATACTATCATTAAGTTTGAAGTGAAAATTCTCCAGTGGTTCTTGAGATATCGCGATAACGATCTCAATGTATGGAATTTCATAAGTTGACCTCTGTGACCCTTGACCTTTGACCTACGTGCTCCAAAATCTAATCAGATTGTTTTCCTATAGTGATACACACTATCACTAAGTTTGAAGTTTAAATCTCCAGTGGTTCTTGAGATATCATGATAACAATCTCAATGTATGGAATTTCATAAGTTGACCTCTATGACCCTTGACCTTTGACCTACGTGCTCCAAAATGTAATCAGATTGTTTTCCTATAGTGATACACACTATCACTAAGTTTGAAGTTTAAATCTCCAGTGGTTCTTGAGATATCATGATAACAATCTCAATGTATGGAATTTCATAAGTTGACCTCTGTGACCCTTGACCTTTGACATACGTGCTCCAAAATGTAATCAGATTGTTTTCCTATAGTGATACACACTATCACTAAGTTTGAAGTTTAAATCTCCAGTGGTTCTTGAGATATCATGATAACAATCTCAATGTATGGAATTTCATAAGTTGACCTCTGTGACCCTTGACCTTTGACATACGTGCTCCAAAATCTAATCAGATCGTCTTCCTATGGTGATACATACTATCCTTAAGTTTGAAGTTTAAATCTCAAATGGTTCTTGAGATATCGCGCTAACAAACTCAATACAAGGAATTTCATAAGTTGACCTCTGTGACCTGTGACCTTTGACCTACGTACTCCAAAATCTAATCAGATCGTCTTCCTATGGTGATAAATACTATTCCCGAGTCTTAAGTTTAAATCTTAAATGGTTCTTGAGATATTGTGATAACGGTCAAACGGGACGGACGGACGGACGGACGGACGGACGTACGGACGGACGGACGTACGGACGGACAACCCGAAAACATGATGCCTCCGGCACCACCTTCGGTGGCGGAGGCATAAAAAGAAAAAAAACATAAAATACATGATCTTGTTTATGTTAGCACATTTCCAACACTCTCAAAACATTTTCTAAAGAGAAACCATTTCTTTTTCAATTTATTCTCTCTGAGATTTGTATTTTTATTGTGTATTTCCACAGGATTTTTAAACCCTATTGACCCTCTACTCAGGTTTCAGGTTTATCAAATTTCCTACCCTTTCCATGTATCTTCTTACGACCTGTGAATTTGATACCCTTTTCTCATATTTGTCCTGTTTTTGATACCCTTATATTTAGTTGGTTTCGATAAAAGCAGAAAATGAGAAAAATAATTTAGTGAAAGTTTGAGCAAAATCTGATCAAAAATATTTGCGTTATGAATTTCTGAAGTTGTAATCAATGAAGCACAAATTGGCAATGATCTTGCAAGCTCCTCTTTCTCTGTCATTTGCCCTGTACATAAATTTCATAAAGTTTCATCTTCTAACTCGTCGATAAAGTAATACATTGGTTTCATACAGGGGTTGTATAGATTAGGGTGCATGTATGATTGAAAAAAAATTTTAGGAAAAATTAAAAATTTGAATTTGTTGTTGTTGGTACAGAGCCAATTTGTGTTTGATTGGTCAAAACTTCACATCAAAAGTAATAAATTTCTTATTTTGAAAGGGCAAGTCCACTCCAAAAATAACTTACTTTCAATAGAAGCAGAAAAATCTGAATCGTAAAAAGGCTCATCAAAATCGGTTATGACATGAAAGACTTTGAAAATCACAAGACAAATTGTCGATTCGCTCATGAGTCTGTGACGTCATTGCCTCACTATCCACTAATTTTTTTCTTTAATATACATTTACAATTTTCCCCCTAAAATTCTTATTTCCTCACACGAACATCCAAGTTATATTGATAGATGTATGTTTTTGTGTGGATACACTAATATAGAGTAATTTTTTCAGTTAAATCATGAAAAATGTGAGTTTTGTTAAACTATTTATATAAAAATCAATGATTATGAATATACAATATTCAGAAAAAAGTATCAATTCTTCAAAATTCATAAAAGACTTTGTGAAATGTCATGTACGC